GAGCCCTGTACGTTATAAAAAGTCGGCGACCAAATCTTAACTCACAAGGCTCATCGTGGCCGATATGCGAAGGTGATATGTGCCTTGATGTGTGATGTGTGCTAGCTTACAATCGTTTAGATGTGTTGGTGATGCCTGATGCGTGATGTGCGATGCCCGTTCAGTTGAGATCGCTGGCATGTGTAATTGATGCGTGATGTGTGATGCCTGTTTATTTCAACTCGTTTGCATGTTTGAATGAAGTGTGATGCGTGATGGTTGTTTGCTTGAATTCGTCTCCGTGTGCATGCATTTTTGCGTGTTCTAATTCTTGGATACGCGTTGTATCGTGGTAATGGCTGGCAATCGCCTTTGCTTAATGTCCTGAATGTTGGTGTCCTGTAAAAACCGTGGCTTGCTTTTAAAAAAACTAAAAAATCGAGTAGGATCACGGCAGGCAATTTTGAATCGACTTCTATTGTGCTGGTAAAGGCATGTCGCCGAAATATCAACCCAGCTATATTTCCATATGCTGGTTTTCTCCGAGGAACAATGCTATTACTACGGTCTCATCTCTCATTGTATCATCAAAATCAAATGACATCGGCCGACAACAAAGGCAAAAAGCTCTACAGGAAATCATCTCTCGAACCGTAAAAGACAAATAAGACCAAAAAGCAGGCATTACCATTGATTACCACAAGAGGAAAATATCCAACTGCCTTCTGGGAAACATCCTTGTGAAACATGACAAACTAAAATGCACCGATGTAGTGTGTCAATTCCCATGTTATCTCACAGGTTACAAACCTTGTCCCATACACTACATTGGCGTAACCACAACACTCTCACAACACCTGTCATTACACTTACGTGAGGGGGCACCTCTAGAACACGTGCGACACGAACATGGCAGGACATTAACACAGCAGCTGACGACATCAACGGTATGACGCACACACGCCACATGCGTGCACACGCACACGCATGCGAGCGTGCGCGTGTGCGTGTGCGTAAGCGTGTGCGTGTGTGCGGGCATGCAATGATAGAAGATGTCTTCATATTTGGGGAAGCATGTTATGAACTAATTATTGCCAGCCCTAAGCAAACAAACTAATGCTTGCACAACTTCTGAGTTGTTAGGTGGTGGGTGGGTAGCTGCTGTAATGCGGTTGTGGCTGTTAGGGTGGTGGGTGGTAGCTGCTGTAGTGCGGTTGTAGCTGTTAGGTGGTGGGTGGTAGCTGCTGTAATGCGGTTGTGGCTGTTAGGTGGTGGGTGGTAGTTACTGTGATGCGGTTGTGGCTGTTAGGTGGTGGGTGGTAGCTACTGCAATGCGGTTGTGGCTGTTAGGTGGTGGGTGATAGATACTGTAGTGCGATTGCGGTTGTTAGGTGGTGGGTGGTAGCTACTATAATGCGATTGCGACTGTTAGGTGGTGGGTGGTAGCTACTTTAATGCGATTGTGGCTGTTAGGTGGTGGGTGGTACCTACTGTAATGCGGTTGTGGCTGTTAGGTTGTGGGTGGTAGCTACTGTGATGCGGCTGTGGCTGTTAGGTGGTGGGTGGTAGCTACTGTGATGCGATTGTGGCTGTAGGTTCTACAACTTCTGTCCTTGAAAACTCAAACACTTTCTTGTAGCACGAGATATATACATATATGTACCTATATATATATATATATATATATATATATATATATATATATTTGCGTGCGTGCGTGTGTGCGTGCGTGTGTGTGTGTGCGTGTGCGTGTGCGTGCGCGTGTGCCGGTGCGCATGTTATGTGTGCGACGCAGATTAAATCATGCGTTGCATGCTTAACACAATGGTATCATCTTCATGTTATCCATGGGTGATGATTCGGCGATCATGATAATGATGATATGTCATGTGATGTGACGATATGATATGACCCGAACCCGATATGATGTCAAGGAACCAGCAGTAAGTTAGGTGTACGCAGACGCAAAGCTTCTGTCGATACTCACGGATAATTTCTTGTCCGCCGATTTACAAGACATCCACAACAAACCCGTAGCATTTCAGTGAAACAGCAGCATGCAATAGTTGGGTTTACCCCATAACTTAACAGAGCGATAGACCGAGAGACATGCCAGGGAATAACGTTGGTTTATTGAGCTCAGATGTCATTTCCATCTTCACCTTGCGCTGGTTGTTTAAGCTTTGCCCGTGGTTTGTCTGGAGCGCGGTACTCATGTCCCCAGATTCAGACGTACTGGAAGTTCATGGACCGGGTGGACTCGCTGTTGGCGATGCCGCACTACGTGCGAACCATCCGTACCGTTGTCTACATGCTCCTGCTGATTCACGTCAACGCCTGCGCCTACTATGCCGTCAGCCTGTGGGAGGGCATCGGCACCAACGGCTGGGTCTTCGACGGCATCGGAAACCCGTGGGTGACACCGCCGGATGCAGCGGACACTCATGGGGCAGTGGCGAGAAATTTGGCTGTCATTTGTAGGATCGAAATCCACGGGTCCTGGCACCGTTGTCGTTAAAGGTTTTACGACGCGCTCAGCTGCTGAGGCTGTATGCCATCACCTGTCTCTTACCCTGGCAGGAGTGGGGCGGAGGGGGGGGGGGAAAGGCACCTCGAGCAATCAAGCCCCTTACCTCTGGTTTCCCGGACGCACAGCCTAACAACGGCGCCACTCGAGCCCGGATCCCGGTTTGGAAATGTGTTCCGATCTCGAATCAGTACATTTCAAATTGGAAAGATCCGACAGTGAAGAAAACGCATGAATGGAATGTCATACATTGGCAGATATTGAAAAAGCATCAGATACATTGCTGTACTCTACTCTAAGCCGAAAATACTGTTTAAACAACACAATTTCTATATTCAGTAAACATGCTACTCATTACGTCATTGTTTGATTGCGACATGGAACGTTTGTATGACGTTAGAGGTGCTACCAAACAGGTCGTGCAAATTGCCACCCTAGCACCCACTTTGCAGTGCTTCAAATTGCCGAGACATGACATTGATGGTGCTGGGCGTATTTCCGAAAGGAAATATGGAGTGCTCTGTATCTGTCTTTTCTCGTTGTGTCGTTGCCTATTTGCCTATGAGTTTATCTTGTCTTCTTGCATCCACATACTCGGCGATGCGCTATTCTTAAGCTAATTGATAACAGGTCTATTTTCCGTAATATCTATGTCCTAGTGCCTATGTCCAACTTCTGGCAATATGTAGCACAAAACATGGTTCGTGTTTGAAACTCGCAATGCCGGCATGACATTGAACGAGAGCCAATTGAACTCTGTTATGCCTAGAAACCGTGCTCACAACCGTGAGAGATAAACGACTCGAAAACCCTATTTTAGTCGACATTGGACGCCACATGACCAATGTGGTGGCAGTATTTGAATGATGTTTCTGCGGCGTCATGCACGCCTGAGTAATTTTAAGATAGTCTGCACATTCACGGGCGCATAACTCAGAAACTAGGACTTAGGTCTTAAGAATTCGGGGATGCGAGCTTCTCCGAATGATCTTCAATATTTTTTTCGGTTGAAAACACCATACAGATGTGGAACACTCCTCTCTTTGAAGAGAATGTTCAACATTTATAAGCGGTTTTGAACTGAGTTAGCCATTTTGAAGACCACTCAGTGCAGCTTAAAGCCATTCCCTTTTAAAGACTAGAAACCTTTCCGTTTCTGAGCTTGACGCCTTCCAACTGTGAAGGGTATTTCAAGGTAACCCAAGCATGCATTACGCTTTATAAAGGCCGCGCGAGTACTGCCACCCCATAGACCACGTAGTGCTCAAGGTCAAGAACGATGTGATCATCGAACTGTTCGTGTCTGGCGTGCGTCAGCACCATTCGTGACATCAACAGATATCAGTTGGTCTTTGAACAACTTTATTGGTAAAGTACAAGCCCAAACACGAATCCCCTTTTGTGGTACATAATACAGGAAGTTGGCAGTGATACCAGTTATGACGGAAATAAGATTAGGAATTTAATTACTTAAAAGTGGTGGCGTAACCGGACATGTGAATGCAAAGGTACAGAAAGTGTGCCTTTAACTTTTTCATACGTATCACATTACGGTCCTTCGTGGTGCATCACTTGTCTCAGTTCGCTAATTATGAGCAATCTGCGCCTACTTTGAGAAACCCAAGAAAGATGTCACAAAGGCTTAGAAGACCCAGACGTGCCTTCTTCAGTAGCCTGAAATTTTGCCGTGTGTCGCTCGTCTCCTTCAAATTGGGAGGCCTATGTACGTATCATGTCGCGCGGGGTAAGTGCATCTCTTATAATCTGGGGTCTCGCGAGGACAAAAACGAAACCTCGCTCCACCGGTTTTACGTGCGCTTGAACCCACCATCCATGGTGTCTTGAGGTCAGGCCCCCATCACTTACTGTTTATCATAGCAGCGGCCGTTACTCGGTGTGTTTCGGGTCACGTCTCCTTTGGCTCTGGCAGCAGGAAGACAATCGGAGTGGTGGTGGTGGCGGACGGGAGGCCTTTATGTTATGGTCTGCAGCAAAAACCTTATTTTCCAGCTACGTGAGATGCTTTTATTTCGCCACCAAAACGGCTACATCCATCGGCAAAAACCCAAAACCCACCAACGAGTTCGAATATGTCTTCATGACGGGAAGCTGGCTGATGGGAGTCTTCGTATTCGCTCTTCTGGTTGGTCAGGTATGTGGCAGTCGCTTCGTGGATAAGTGTAGCGATATGTACTTGATAGAGACAAGAAAGGCCCTGAGCTACTGATTTTTCGGTATCATTGGTTCAGAGTTCCTATGCGGACACTTATCAACCTTCAATATACCAGGAGATAACCGGTAAAAGACGCTACCAAGCAAACAGTGCGGTCTACCACATGTTAACCTACCGGTACGTAAGCTCGCCGTAAAAGTGAGTCTCCAAAGCGCTCATGGATCCAGTCAAGAATGCTACGCCTTGTTCCTCCCACATGGAATATCCCTGAGAGAGCTTCCAAGATATTATTTAAACTATGCGCGCAGTGCGCAGTTTCCTTCCAGCTCACTAGCACATGAATGGCAAGTCCTATCCCCAGCTGGACACGTTGGGTTCTCTAGCGCTAATTGCAACTTGTATAGATTTTAAACACTGACCCGTTTCACATTGCCCTGAGGCCGCACAAGCAAGTCGATCGTACGGTGACATGAAGACGTTTGCACAGCCCGTCATCTATAAACGGGAGTTGTACGCATGTAATTTACTCTTTGCTCTACCGTTCTACAACTTTTTCGCTAACCTGATGCAACTTCAATGAATTGCGATACGGCCCGGGACACACATCACTGTGGTCTGTAGGCATGTCCTGTCTTCAAATGGAAGGACTTTCTAGTTATAGAAAAATCGAAGGACTTTCTAGTTAAAATACTTTTACGCGACTATGAACCAAAATATGACAAACTGCACGCATCGCTCTCCGCATTTGTGACATCAGAACCGCTTTTCTAGTAGTCATTGTGTGTCCCGTATTGTAAGGTAGTGTCATGGAGGTGGCGATGGGTCTAAAGTAGAGTTCTGCGATATGGCTTCTGTCTGGTTAAACCACAAAACTGGTGTCCAGGATTGTAATCGGCACATTTTGAGTGGTTGCTTCTGAGTGAAAGAAAACTGAGGTGGTATTGATTTATGTTTACAATGCATCTAGCAGTGAGCTCAACGTATGAGAACCTATACCTTCTTTTATGAGAATGCTGCCCTACAGCTTTGTTGAATGGAACCATGCTGAGGGTTATACTACCTGGAGAAGCTCAGCCAGAGCGTGCCATACACTCTCTCGAGATACGGCTCTGTGTGAGGCGGGTGAACAAGAATTTGAAGACACATTTAAATCGCCACTTTATTGAGGAACGGCAACAGCATGTTTCAGGGGCTATCACATGAAGGGCTACGATGAGATGAAGTGGAATGTTGGGCTTGGGATTTTAAGGAATGCATCGAGCGTTGACAATTTAACCAATCTGTCCATGATCAAATAGTTTAACCAGTTAGGACCATCTGGCATGTGGAAAGTCGACAACTATCAATAAAAGGTATTTTAACTCACAATGTATCAATATGTGTATAATACGAGCGTCATATGTGTAGGCACGCTTCTCGATTCTGCTCGGCGAGGTGTTTTTTCGTTGCACCTGTTTGATGATACTATAGGGAAAATACTGATTCAGCTGTATTTGAAATACCGGAGGGCATCACCACCACCAGCCTCGTCAAGCCGTGTTCGCTGACGCCATGTCTTGCGGCGCCGGCCGGTGCAGTTCGTGCTGCCTGACAGGATGTCGCCATCGCCGCAGATCCGTGACATCGTGGCCAAGATCACGCGCACACGCGATGAGTTCCGCCAGATCATGGACAGCACCGTGCGCTACATGCAGCACCTGAGCCTGCCGCCGGCGCTGCAGGAGCGCGTTCGTCTCTGGATGCACTACACGTGGCGGCAGCAGAAGTCGCTAGGTCAGGTCCTACAATGTGCCGTCCGTCTCTGGATACACTACACGTGGCGGCGGCAGAGGTCGCTAGGTCAGGCCCTACAGCGTGCCGTCCATCTCTGGATGCACTACATGTGGCGGCGGCAGAGGTCGCTAGGTCTAGGTCTTACAATGCGCCGTCCGTCTCTGGATGCACTACACACGGCGGCAGTAAAAGTCGCTAGGTCAGGCTATACGGCGTGCCGTCCGTCTCTGAATGCACTACATGTGGCGGCGGCAGAGGTAGCTAGGTCTAGGTCTTACAACGCGCAGTCCGTCTCTGGATGCACTGCACATGGCGGCAGCAGAAGTCGCTAGGTTAGGCCCTATAGCGCGCCGCCCGTCTCTGGATGCACTACACGTGGCGGCGGCAGAGGTCGCTGGGTTAGGCCCTACAGCGCGCCGCCCGTCTCTGGATGCACTACACACAGCGGTAGCAGAAGTCGCTAGGTCAGACCCTACAACGCGCCGTCCGCCTCTGGCTGCACCAGACGTGGCTGTATCAGAGGTCGCTAGGCCGTGCTCCACAGCGCGCCGTCCGCACAATGTGTCAGGGCACCGCCGCGCCGGGTTGCGCGCGCTGCAACCTGACGTCGATTACCGCATCCGACGCTTTTTCCTGCATCATGCAAGCTGCATGTGTGCTGACATTGAGGCATATTGAATAAGAAACCGTAACGGGAGAGTCTTCAAGTCGTGATCACATGCATTTATAATAAGTAATTTCTATAATTCAACTAAAAAATCGCCTACTTCGCACCAGGCTCCTGCAACTTTGACGTGGCCTTCGAGGAACACTGGACTATGTGGTGTGTGTATGTGCATCCACAGACCCGTGGCCGCTCCCACGCTCAGGGGGATGAAGTGGTGAACAGGGCTTCTTCGAACGAACATGGGTTGGTGAGGCGCAGGATGAGTACGGGAGGGTGCGAGAAGGATGAGGGTTTGGGCTAGGACGTAAGGATGCAAGCCAGTAAATGGGACTGAAGCGAGATTAAGGAACGGCAGTTTAAGCTAGGGAAGGACTGCGAAATGCGATCAATGGATGACACAATGGGTAATGGAAGGGGCTTGTTTCGTCCGGTCGGATTTACTGTCATCAGACTGTATGCAAGTGCTTCCGTCAAGGACTTTTACGATACGGCGTTTGCACGTGGTGCTGCAAAACTGCGGTCCGAAGCGTTAGTTCGTCCTGTAGTGAACGGCTCGTTCTGATACCGGTCCTTTGAATGTTCCGACTTTAAGGATATCCTCCAAAAATGTCATGTACTGGGTACGCCAACGCCCGGAAACGTCACGTCATGCTATCTGTGACACTTGACAGCTCACGACAAACAGACAATGTGGAATCATAGCATTCCTTGGACATAGTTGTATGGGATCACTTATATATATATAGAGAGAGAGAGAGAGAGAGAGAGAGAGAGAGAGAGAGAGAGAGAGAGAGAGAGAGAGAGAGAGAGAGAGAGAGAGAGAGAGAGAGAGAGAGTGTGTGTGTGTGTGTGTGTGTGTGTGTGTGTGGTGTGTGTGTGTGTGTGTGTGTGTGTGTGTGTGTGTGTGTGTGGTGTGTGTGTGTGTGTGTGTGTGTGTGTGTGTGTGTGTGTGTGTGTGTGTGTGTGTGTGTGTGTGTGTGTGTGTGTGGTGTGTGTGTGTGTGTGTGTGTGTGTGTGTGTGTGTGTGTGTGTGTGTGTGTGTGTGTGTGTGTGTGTGTGTGTGTGTGTGTGTGGTGTGTGTGTGTGTGTGTGTGTGTGTGTGTGTGTGTGTGTGTGTGTGTGTGTGTGTGTGTGTGTGTGTGTGTGTGTGTGAGAGTGCATGCATACCTTCGTGTATCCAGTGCTTATGGCGTGCTGGGCATGACGACGTTTTTCGCCGCTAGACGAGCTGAAAGCACTGGAGGTACTACCACACAAGCTGCAGACGGACATAGCACTGAGCGTGCACTCGGACACCCTGAAGAAAGTGCACCTCTTCCAGAACTGCGACGAGGCTCTTCTACGTGACCTGGTGCTCAAACTGAAACCCATCAACTATCTGCCCGGGGACTATGTCTGCAAGAAGGTGGGGAAACCGGCCCAGCCGCTCGGGGATACCGATCAACTGCTTTGTTTCAGCGGTGATATCAATGCGATGCGATGGAGGCTTACAAAGAAAATAGAGAACAGAGTGGTGACATGTTACAGTACAGTATATATATATATATATATATATATATATATATATATATATATATATATATATATACGTCAACGTGGCGTGAGCGTGCTGCCCGTCAGTGTGCAAGCTGTCTGTGTGTCGCCAGGGAGAGGTCGGTCGGGAGATGTATGTCGTCAAGTTGTCCGTGTCTCGCCAGGGAGAGGTCGGTCGGGAGATGTATGTCGTCAAGTTGTCCGTGTCTCGCCAGGGAGAGGTCGGTCGGGAGATGTATGTCGTCAAGTTGTCCGTGTCTCGCCAGGGAGAGGTCGGTCGGGAGATGTATGTCGTCAAGTTGTCCGTGTCTCGCCAGGGAGAGGTCGGTCGGGAGATGTATGTCGTCAAGTTGTCCGTGTCTCGCCAGGGAGAGGTCGGTCGGGAAGATGTATGTCGTCAAGTGTCCGTGTCTCGCCAGGGAGAGGTCGGTCGGGAGATGTATGTCGTCAGTTGTCCGTGTCTCGCCAGGGAGAGGTCCGGTCGGGAGATGTATGTCGTCAAGTTGTCCGTGTCTCGCCAGGGAGAGGTCGGTCGGGAGATGTATGTCGTCAAGTTGTCCGTGTCTCGCCAGGGAGAGGTCGGTCGGGAGATGTATGTCGTCAAGTTGTCCGTGTCTCGCCAGGGAGAGGTCGGTCGGGAGATGTATGTCGTCAAGTTGTCCGTGTCTCGCCAGGGAGAGGTCGGTCGGGAGATGTATGTCGTCAAGTTGTCCGTGTCTCGCCAGGGAGAGGTCGGTCGGGAGATGTATGTCGTCAAGTTGTCCGTGTCTCGCCAGGGAGAGGTCGGTCGGGAGATGTATGTCGTCAAGTTGTCCGTGTCTCGCCAGGGAGAGGTCGGTCGGGAGATGTATGTCGTCAAGTTGTCCGTGTCTCGCCAGGGAGAGGTCGGTCGGGAGATGTATGTCGTCAAGTTGTCCGTGTCTCGCCAGGGAGAGGTCGGTCGGGAGATGTATGTCGTCAAGTTGTCCGTGTCTCGCCAGGGAGAGGTCGGTCGGGAGATGTATGTCGTCAAGTTGTCCGTGTCTCGCCAGGGAGAGGTCGGTCGGGAGATGTATGTCGTCAAGTTGTCCGTGTCTCGCCAGGGAGAGGTCGGTCGGGAGATGTATGTCGTCAAGTTGTCCGTGTCTCGCCAGGGAGAGGTCGGTCGGGAGATGTATGTCGTCAAGTTGTCCGTGTCTCGCCAGGGAGAGGTCGGTCGGGAGATGTATGTCGTCAAGTTGTCCGTGTCTCGCCAGGGAGAGGTCGGTCGGGAGATGTATGTCGTCAAGTTGTCCGTGTCTCGCCAGGGAGAGGTCGGTCGGGAGATGTATATCGTCAAGTTGTCCGTGTCTCGCCAGGGAGAGGTCGGTCGGGAGATGTATGTCGTCAAGTTGTCCGTGTCTCGCCAGGGAGAGGTCGGTCGGGAGATGTATGTCGTCAAGTTGTCCGTGTCTCGCCAGGGAGAGGTCGGTCGGGAGATGTATATCGTCAAGTTGTCCGTGTCTCGCCAGGGAGAGGTCGGTCGGGAGATGTATATCGTCAAGTTGTCCGTGTCTCGCCAGGGAGAGGTCGGTCGGGAGATGTATGTCGTCAAGTTGTCCGTGTCTCGCCAGGGAGAGGTCGGTCGGGAGATGTATATCGTCAAGTTGTCCGTGTCTCGCCAGGGAGAGGTCGGTCGGAGATGTATGTCGTCAAGTTGTCCGTGTCTCGCCAGGGAGAGGTCGGTCGGGAGATGTATGTCGTCAAGTTGTCCGTGTCTCGCCAGGGAGAGGTCGGTCGGGAGATGTATATCGTCAAGTTGTCCGTGTCTCGCCAGGGAGAGGTCGGTCGGGAGATGTATGTCGTCGAGTTGTCCGTGTCTCGCCAGGGAGAGGTCGGTCGGGAGATGTATGTCGTCAAGTTGTCCGTGTCTCGCCAGGGAGAGGTCGGTCGGGAGATGTATATCGTCAAGTTGTCCGTGTCTCGCCAGGGAGAGGTCGGTCGGGAGATGTATGTCGTCGAGTTGTCCATGTCTCGCCAGGGAGAGGTCGGTCGGGAGATATATGTCGTCAAGTTGTCCCTGTCTCGCCAGGGAGAGGTCGGTCGGGAGATGTATATCGTCAAGTCCGGCCAGGTGATGGTGATGGCCGGCAAGGCTGTGCTGGCCACGCTGCAGCAGGGCAGTGTCTTCGGCGAGATCAGCCTGCTCGGTCTGGCCGGACTCAGCCGACGCACCGCCGATGTCAGGCGAGTAAACTCGATGTCCCCCCAATTAGTGACGAGTGTGGCTCACGGGTGATGCTACGGCTATTAGCAACGCTTTCGCGTGATTTTCGATGATTTTTTTTTCAGTTAACTGACTGACAGATTAAGCTTGGGGCGTTTTGGCTCCATCGGATTGTAACCTGTAACTTCACTGGCTGTTGTTTACACCTTGAACATTGCGAAAAAAAGCTTACGCTTTATGTCTTTACAGATCGCGTGGGTTTTCCACTCTTTTCGTTTTGAATAAAACAGATTTGCAGGACGCGATGAAGTACTATCCAGATGCACAAGAACTGCTCAGGAAGCGTGCAAAGTAAGTAGACGGATCTAGCTGTGGAGCTTTTTAGACCTTGGGTCAGCAGTTCGTGGTTCGCCCGAACATGTACTGTATGGCACGCACGCACATTCAGTCACCGAAGTTGAATGTTTGCAGCGTTGTCACAGGAATTCTTCTCCTTACTCATTAAGTACGAACCAGTCACCGCTGGCCTATCACAGACAGCGATGCGGTGCTGGGCCAGCCAAGCTCGTGCGCTTTCTGCAGCTCTAGCACGGTCTTTTGGTGTCATCGCAGAGCCTTAATCAAGAAGAACGCAGCTATGGCCGCTGAGAACGGTGAAGACGGCGACGGCGAAGAAGTCATCATCAAGAGAAGACGCCCCTCCACACCCAAGCTGCTTCATGCGGTCCTTCAGGTTAGCCTGCATAGCCTGGTTTTCATATGCACCACCCAGTTATGCGTGCGTGTTGAAGTGCAGCTACCAGTGCTGACTTCAGGCACAATATCACCCCTAAGCAATTAGCAGTGCTGAAGAAATAAGCACAAAATTTGTACGTGCATGTGACGTGTTAGTTATCCGGGCCAGGGACAACGGGACGAAGGAACGACGGACAAAGGGACAGGGACGAAGGGACGGACGTTTGACAGATTGGTCGAGGGCCGCGACCAGGGGCAGATCCGGAGCTGCGCCACGGAGCCAGCAGCACCGGCTTAGGCGTCCATGTCCATCAGCGTGTCCTTGTTAAAAACTAATTAATATTCATTCATCCTAGTTACATCACTGTTTTAAATAACTCATATCATTGAACTTATTTAGCTTTTTCTCGACGTCTTAACTCTCGTCTTAATAGGCGGAGGGGGAGGGTCGATATGAACCTTGTAAGGTGTTCTTTGGACACCTCTCCGGCATGTTGTGCAATCGCACGAAATTTTTAGTAGCCTATGCGGCATTTATTGCGCGTCTTTGGACACCAAAAACAGATGTTCCTATACGATTTCTTCTTTCGGAGCATCGGCGGTTTCTTTAGGAACACTGCAAAGCGATCTACGGTGGCCAATTTCGTAGCCAATTATGTCAACCCACCCCACCACACCCCGCAGTCGGGGAAGAATGCGAGCGAATCCGTCAAGAAACATATTTTTTGCGTATTTTGAAGGTTGACTTTGCCGTATGGCCGTACTCAGCCCGCCAACTTATTTTGTAAAACAACATCCCTGCTTGAAGCGTTCAGTACAGTACTGTGCTTGAGGGCCACTTTGGCTGTCGGGGAATCACTGTTCACTTGTGATGCCCAGTTCGTTGACTGGCTGTGTTTGCAAAGCGGGTATATACCAGCGGCATATCACTTGATTTGGTGACACATATGTTCAAGCTTCCAATAATGCACTTCTCGCTAAATGACTTGCGCCGTTCTCTGCCAACCACAAACGTTCATTTCTACTGACGTCATTCACACCCACAAATGGCGAAGTACATTCTGATCACATAGGAGTGCAAATGATCTGATCGTTGGCGTCCGCTGGTAACTTTTTTCCTTTTCATGTCAACTTCCGTGCCAATTTCGAAAGAAACCGACATAAAATTCTCACTCACAGCCACGGAGGCTGTGATGTATTTCTTACTTGAATATCTGCATGCGCCAATATTTCCCATTCCAAAGATAAAATCTGGGGATACCAGGGACAGAGTCAAAGTGACAGCCGCACAAAAACCTTTGGAAAAACGGACAAAGAACAATTTGGTCTGGCAAAACGTCGACGGCATAGATTAAACTTGGAAAATAACAAGATTGAGCTTCTGGTGCTGCATCTGTCCGACAAGCAGCATATCGTTGGTGCTGCATTTGTACTTCCCGTTGCTATTATGAAACAACTGGCAATGGGGTTTCGGCAAAGTAGGTTTTGAAATATGCCCTAAATGTGGCACGCTTCCCTTAAACTCCCGTTGACTGGTGACTACAGTAAACAGGTATGTAAAAGACGTCGTGCCTTGAAAATTTGTTCCTCTAGCACCATGGAAAGCTAATAAAGCGGGGCAATGATTTCGCGTTCCCTTACGTGTCACGCATGCATTCCACATCACTCCAAGTGACCCTCCGGGCGCGTGCTAAATCTGAGCAAAGCCGAATCCCCATGGCCTTTCGATAAAGGAACATTGTTTCACACAGTGCAATTGTGTGTTTGTGCTTGTGTTTCTCACTGGTCCCATACTGTACTATTTCATCACCACGTACCGCAGTGTGCCGCGCTGCGCCGCTGCGCCCCGCCCTGTGCAGCCGCTCACCCCGCTGCACCACTCGGCCCGGCCTGCCCCGCCGCCCCGCCCTGTGCAGCCGCCCACCCCGGTACACCAGTCGGCCGGCCTGCCACGCCGCCCCGCCCTGTGCAGCCGCCCACCCCGCTGCACCAGTCGGCCCGACCTGCCACGCCCCACCCCGCCGTCAGGTGGTGGAGCCGAGCTCGATGACGGCGTCGATGCTGCGTCAGCGGGGCGGCGGCGCCTGCTCGCAGATGGAGCTGCGCGTGCCCAGCAGCCTGTCAGTCGGCCGCTACTCGCCCATGTCTCTGCCGCCGGGCCTGGCCGCGGCCGGCAGCGAGCTCCAGCCACAGCGCTCCGAGTCGCTGACCGAGGAGGACGAGGTCGGTCAGCGCCCCCCCCCCCCCCCCCCCCCGACCACCACCGCCGCCGCAGCCAGTGCTTGAGGGCGGCGCTCGGTCGGACGGCGGCCGGCTGATGTAGGCTTTCGCTCCTGGGAAGGCGGATAGTCGCGGGTTAAACAGCCTGCCCCAGTTGTGCAAACTTACACCACTAGCCTGCTCCCCATCTGTGCAAACTAACACCAATACCATCGGCAACACAATCACATCTCATATGAACAAGCCTGCGAGTCACGCGTGGCGGCTTGCTGCAACACTGAACTATCTATCCAAGAAGAGGAATGATGAACACCCATAAATGACCTAAATCGTGATGCTGTCAACGTGTGCATGTTTCACCGGAGTGTTTTAAGCAACCGGGAATCATGAGCGTTCGTTTAACTTGCTCAGACATCACGTCGCTGAATGAAAAGCTGACAAACAATTGCAAGGCAATCGCACGCCCATAGTTATCGAGAAGTATTCGCTTCTTAAACGAGCTGCTTTTTATTTAGATTGGTTGTCTTTTTATTCAGATGGTTACCAAAGAAGCTTTCCAATTTGCTGCCAGTGAGCGTGCCATACTAACATACTCGTGATTGTATTAGAGCAAGACCTCGACATAACTAGGACGACAATTTAATGGTATTTAGACGGCCTTTAGACGGCTTTGGCGGTAGTCTGAAATTCTAGAAACAGCGTGACAAGGTTTTAATTGGTTTTGCGTTCCGTACCTATACACTCCCGCACCTGATATTCGCTTTTATATAACACTTCGGCTAGAATTTTTGGGAGCCACATTTTGGGGGACGTTTTCTCTCCTGCTATGGGAACTAACTACACAGACTCCACGGGTGGAGAATGCTGGGAAACTTTGGTGTAACAACCGTGCCGAAATGCGTGTCTGTCAGTGATAGGATGGTGGCATTGGGAGATCTCACCGAAAATTACAAACTTGTGTGACTGCTGCCACATCCGCCATACCGCATGGTCCATTTATGGCAGACGCGTTTTTACACCATCCCATCGGAATCCGGTAGCCAATATCCCCAGACTGCCAAGCTACTCTGTGATTTTTTTTTATGCGAGGTAACAGTGTCAACGTTATTGGTAGGGTCGATGGTGAAGCAATCTGTCCCTGACCGTACGACCCTCGTGAAGGTTCTGGTGATCGACAAGAGCAAGCTCCCGCCCGCGCAGAAGACCGGACGGCCCGTGCCCCCGAGGTTTGCCGCCAATGCGCCGGACACGAAAGTCACCATCTCGGAAAAGATTCGTCACCGGCTGCCCTACACAATAGGGTGAGGCCATTCAACGCCGACGTAGCTGCTAATTTAGCTCTGCCGACAATCCCGTTACGGCATCGTAACTGACTCCTGCAACATTGCACAGGAAGTTTCAGCTTACGTGTGCAATATGTTTGTTCTTGCGTCTTGCTGCGTAACACCGTGCACCGCGTGCATCAGTTCAACACCGAAGTGTACAACATCGTGATATGAGAACGCTCCGGGAGCCTGGTCGGGTATGAACACTGAGCCCGATGAAGCTGTCCCGTAGCCTGAGGTCGTCACGGGGGGGGGGGGGGGATCGGGTGAGCTGTGCCCCAACCTCCAAAATTGGCGTCCCGAGATCGCTGCTGATTCGGACAGGTCTTCAAAGGCCGGATCCCTAAGCGGGCCGAGCGGAACAACCCGTGGCCGCGCACGGTCCATTGTGTCTAATACGCGAACAACTGAGGAGCATGAACGATATGTAGCATATGTTTGTATCCTACCTAAAAACAATGTGTGCAATGTACATCGCATGCATGTAAGCTGTACAATGTGTCTGTATGTCGGCGCACTTCCTTCGCCGCGATTCGGGAGTACCTCTCCAACTGTCCAAAATAGATCCACGAAATGTCCAGTATCTAAAAAGATAACAACAGTTAGTTTAAAACATTTCAGGGGTAAAATTCGATTCGACTTCAGTTAACTGAACTACGTTGCCATAACTGATTTTTTAGAGCGACGGTTTCCTCTTCGGTATTATGCACTGTTCCATTTTCTGGGCTGCTTCGATGGAACTGATCGATTGTTGCCAATCAGTGTCAGTCATACCATAATAAATTACACCACGCCACCAACAATAATTACATGAGGCCAACTTATAGACGTGGAACCCAATTGAGGGAAGCCAAACCCGACTGAGTTGTGTCTTTTGCTGGTGATAGATAAGTCGGTTTAGCTTGATCAACTAATCCTATATTTCTGAAACGTTCAAAGTGCGGTTTTCCAGCGTTCTATGTCAGTCCTTCATGGCGCGGGTATTATCGGTTTTCGGGCGGTCTGATCAGAAAACGGCTAAGCTCGGCGCACATTTTACACGCGTGGGCATCCCGCCCCACGCTAGTGTTGCGTGACTCACAAATGACACATATCCAGGCCGACTGTTTCAACGCGTCATTTGAATCAGAATACCGGGGAATCCTTATCTGTTGAGTTGACTTCATAATAATCGGTCATGGCCCTGACCACACCTTACATTGGTCTTTGAGCTTGTTAACAACATGGTAAAACTCTGAAAAATGCAAATACAGTTTCGTTTGGTGTTGCTCGCAAAGCTAAACCAACATTACTTGAGGCCCTGGGCTGCTGACTGCCACGGCTAAACGTTTTCGACCCTCCCAATGGGTCATGAGATACCAGAGAGACGAGGGGGGGGGGGTTACTTTACCCGTCAGGTGGTCACGGATGGCGAGACATCCCAGGCAGCATCAGGATAATGTCAGTGTCGGGACGGCGTCGCGTGACACCAGCACACACTGGAGTTGTGCAAGCTAGGAAGGCGCGAGGCAATGATAGCCTGCCTGATATGGATAGCCTGCATGGATCGCGATTCAAAAACAATTACAGATGTTGGCAAACAACGACGATGTGTGACCAAGAGCTTTGCCCACATACGTTATGGCGCTGTGCTCGTGATCGTGGTCGTTGCCAACACCACCGCACATCCCCTGTTGGAAATTGCTCATGACTCACCCACAAAAAAGTTTTATAAAATAACTTTCGACTTATGTGGTTAGCCAAATCAAGCCTTACATAGCTGTAGACAACTGAATAACCAATCTTTTGATAAAAAATTAAATGTACCTTGTAAGGTCACTGACCCATGACAAGTTTCAGTCACTCCGTTGCTGTCAGCGAAGGCGACTCCTCGGGCATTGTTCAACATGACCTGACAACGTAATGTTAGACGATGTCATACAACTTTGAGATGGTTTCTTAGAACACAAGATCATTAAAATTAGTATCACGACTTGTTCCATTGGCTTTGGGTGGGATATAGGGGTCATATCAGGGTCAAAACCAAACTGCTTGGTTGCTGACAACTCGCTTTTTGAGGTAGTTGTGAGGGTCATTTCGAATTCATTGATCACAACGATAACATATAATTTCGTATTTGACCTCATGAAGTTTAGGGAAGGTCACTAACCTAAAATATCGTTGATCAACCTTTTGCTTTAAGGAGCATGTCGCAAAGGATAGTGCTGGGCGCCCATTTCAGATTTTAGATATCAAAATTATTCAAAGGATTTGTGCTATTTTCACCTTATATAGGCCGCCAAAAAGGTACCGACCTGACGTGAACACCAGTGACTTTTTGCTTACAAGTGCTACCTAGATTAAGGATTGTTTATGCGAGGGGATCTGACTGTACTTCAGACACCGATCTGGGGTTCGACTTTATTTGAACCAAATTTAACGGCCTGGGCACCTCAAAATTGAACATAAGCCAGTTCACGTAGGCCCCTGCCTGCATTTTGAATTTTATGCCCTAGCTATCTCAGCGTATGCATACTTTGTATAGAGACATTAGGGGTCAAACGGACCCCGCCCATACCTGGATGCGGTGCTTTTCATCGGTCACCCGGGAGCGTGTTAGCTGCATTTGGGCGCCTGGCTCGTTTTGCATACAGTCGATGCTCATGTGCCCATCCATGCACACGGGTACACCCGCTACATCAAGTTCCCCAGATAAAAATGGTTTGCGCCATAGAGTTCACAACCAACAAACAACCTGTGAACTTCGCCGCGACAAGTGTGCCCGATGGCACACAGTATTCCAACAGCCACGACAGTGCGCCGCATGGAACATATTCTCTGGCTCCACATCCATATACGATGCATGACACTTAGGCCCATGTGACATTTGTCCTCAGAAAGAAAGATACCTCAGTCGTTTTCTTTGGACTGCTCTGAAATGTTTAGCTTTGATAAACGTCGAAGCATAATGCAGTGATGAGCAATAAAGAACCCAAAAATGCGATACAAATCATCTTATCGTGGCAACGACCAGAACCCAAAAATGCGATACAAATCATCTTATCGTAAATAGGTAAAGCATATCCAAAAACACGATTCGGTGACAAAACCCAAAGGGCTTGGTTCACTTCCCAGTGGCTGAGATAAAAAGGATTGATACGGATGTGCCTTGCTAGGTATATTTGGCGTTTTAAGCCTGCCTCTAACGGCAGACATTTTTCGTTATCTTATTTGCATGGTTCATGCTTTACAACAGGATAATGGTCGTGATATAAACACGCTTACCGTTGCCTGGCTTCACTTTACCTCGCCTTCGGTCGAACAACGGAATCGTTGAGATCCTGATCGTAGCTTGGGCCAGCCCAGATCTTCGACTTAGTGCACCCTTGTTGCCACCGGGGTGTGGTGTGGTTAAACCTCCCGGTCTTGTACAGCTTAAGCAAGTTTTGATCTTTTGCAGGAAACTATTTTTTTGAAAAAAGTTTTACTTCGGTAGTTACGCAGCAAGTGCGCTTTACATGAACATGCCAAATAAACCACACAAAATGTTTGGCCTGCGTACCTTAACACGCGCTCGGGTAAGGGGGTCAACTTGCCCCCCCCCCCGAAGGTTTTTCCGGAACGGTCTCTGAACGGCACAGCGTAACCACGCCAAATTGTGCATAGCTGTAGAAAATTGAATAGCGAATAATTTGGCATCACAAATTTATGTGTACCTTCTAAGGTCACTGACCTACGGAAGGTCAAAATCGGGCCATGGTTTCAGCGAAGTCAATTTCTAGGGAATCGTTCAATCTGATGCAACAACGGAGTGTTAAACGAAGCCATACATCTCTGAGATGCTTTCTTAAGCAACAAGACAGTTGAATGAGCAAATTATCTCGACCTAAGGTCAGGAATGAAAATCAGACCAAGGTCAAAACCAACCTGTTTCATTACCCTAGGGCTTGCTGTATGGGGTAGATTTGGCGCTCATTTTGAATTTATTGATGGCGGGCACCGCATTATGCATCTTCTATAGGCTTTTCAGAGGTCAGAATAAGTCATTGACCTAAAATGACCCAGGTCAACACTTTGTTTTTGGAGCATACTGCCTAGTGTAATCTTTGTCCCTTATTTAGATGCAAAACTCACAGCAGCTTGTATGATTTTGGTCACCATGACCTTCAAAAGGTAAAAAAAAAATGTCACTGACCTTAAATAAGCATGAGACCTTTGGCTTAGAAACGGAGACCTAGGTTCTGGGCACCATAGAAACCAGCCTGGAATTTGACCTTATTTGACCTCATTTGACTCGAATATCATGACCTATAAACCTGAAACTTTGACCTAGGTGAGTTCACGTATAGGTCAACACACCCTGTAAATTTGATGTCTCTAGCCCTCTTAGTTCCCGAGATTTTAGGGGAGGGTAAATTGACCCCTCTACCCGAGCGAAGGGTATCCAGCCGGCCACCCGGGCGCGTGCTAACACTTAAACATGCAATATAATGCGGGAAAACCATTAGAAAACACCCGCTCTACCTTTTAAGCGCCATGTGACTGGTCTGCGTACCTTAACGTTAAACGTGCAATGTAACGTGGCAAAACCATCAAAAGAGACCCACTCTACTTTGTAAACGCCATGTGGCACCAGCGACATCTTCTGCGTGTTTGATCAATCGGTATACACTCTAGCATATATCCACAATCGACGCTTGTTTAGGTTCGCCACTCGTTGAGCCCGGTGCGTGGTAATCATGCGGTTGGTCTGACTCACGCCGAGGTCGGGGGAATTAGCTGCCCGCGCATTTGGCGTCGAATGCATTTGGCTGAACTTTGGAGGGTTATCGATGACGTCAGAGCTCATGCTGAATGTCAAATAATTTAATGGTTCTCAAAGCACATTGTATTGTAAATGGGCGATTCTAGAGATCGTAAAGCGCAAAGAGTATGTAAGTAGGTACATGCCGTAAGCACCCGAACTATGTGCTCTGGCTCTCATCGCCCAAGGTTAAGTATCCTTACAAACGGTTTCACATAAGTAAAATCATGTCAGCCCACAAAAACGAAATGCACTTCCGTCATTTTTTACAGCTTTATGGGTCTGATTTCCGAAACGCCATTTCTCACTTTGCTGACCGCACTGATCATGGAAATATCGCTCCTGGCGCAATTCACCTCTGCTGTCGGCACACATTTTACGTTATTCCGGAATGGTTCCACGTTGGCCTTGTTTCGGGCTTTGGAGGATTCCGGCCTCCATTAGACACAGAGAACTGCTACGCCAGTCGATTTTGAACGGCCGAACGGCATTTGATATGTCCCGACAAGATTTTCATTTCCAAAATGAAAAGCGGTATGGATTTCTAACAGTAGAGCGAATTGGCTCAAATACCTGTAATTTCTAAGTTTCTGCACTCGACACAGCTACCTCGTTCACCAACCGATTTTGATGCCGCCACCACTACCCGATCTCCAGGGATTTCAAGTTTTATACATTAAGACTACGCTTAAATCTCAAAAGTTACGGCCGTATTCGGATGGTGAAAACCGTGATGCTAACGCAATTTCTAAGATGCATTTTTGGCATATGCGATATAATTGGAATGGAGATTTGCTTCCTCATCAGAAACGCTGGCATAAACCCAAATTGTGACACTGGTGAACCCGGAGTTACGAGTGGGGACCGGGGACAGAGGCGAACTCAGAAGCAGATATCATTGTCGCCCACGATGTTCCTTTGCGCTGTACCTGTATATGAACTAATAGCGTCTATGTAATATTTGCGCACATGTACCACATACATGGGCAGTTTTCCAAGGGAGGGGAGGTAGAGACCCGTATTTGGGGCGTGACCATCGCTGCAATCATCAGCTGGCGCCGGCCATGCCAACAGCAGTGGCGGCGCCTCGGATTTTGACTTGGGGAGGGGGGAGATTTCAAAGGGGAGTCCCGAACAAAGTTGGCCTCCTCACAGGGAGGCCTCCTGCAGTGTCGTATTCAACGGAGAGAGGCACCGAGGGCAATTATCCCCGTGTCAAGCTGTTGTACGTTTCATATCTAAGTAAATAAATGTCAACAATTAAAATCCAGAATGAGGCCTCATTCGCCAGGAAATGGCCTCGCTAGCCTAAGACAGGACCCTCTATTCCAGAAAAGGGCCTCCCGATGCATAAATGAGACTCCTAGTTGTTTGTCCTAGTTGTTGATCGGAACGTTTCCGATCAGCAAAGGGGCCCCAAATTTAGCCAAAGGGCCTTGCTGCTACCCCAAAACATTGCTTCCTGATCCGAATCACGACCCTCTGACGCCTGAAGTGAGTCTTATGTCCCGGAAATGGGGCCTCCTGAAAAAAGAGAGTGCCTTCTAACCCAGAAATGAGCCCCTAGTCTGTAACGGGGACCTCCCTAGCCAAGAAAGGACCTCCCGAGTCAGCAAAAGGGTCTGCTTAACACAACATCGGGATTCCTGATGTAGAACATGAACTTCTTTATTGAAAGAGGAAGATAAGCCATGGTCTATAAACGCGTCTCTTAATGCAGAACACGGTCTTTCATACCCGATTTGTAATTCTCTACCTCAGTTATTGGGGCTCCCTTAATCTGAATGTTGGTACTCTACAGCAGGGGTGGATACAGAGGGGGCACAGAGCCATGCCCCCTTGAGTTTCGAAGGGGTTCATGGGCTCTAAAGGGGCCCGTAGCCCGTCGAATAGACGCAGGTTTTAACACAAAAGGCAACAAAACTGGACGTGTTTGGCTTGCAGGCGAACAAGAGCAATCGCAAGCGAAAGTGAAGGGCCCACGGGAGGCCAGAAATCATTTTTTTCACTGACTGAGAGGGTGATTATTTATATATTTTAAGATTCATTACGCTGTCCAGAGGCCCTGCACTATTCCCGGGGCCCTATACGTTCATTTGCAGGGTAAATCCGATCGCCGAGGAGCCTTGCACGTTGCCCTCGATTTCCTTACATTTGCTCGGAGGCCCCGCGCCATGTTGTCGGGGCCCTTTCTGCTGGTATGCGGGGTCACCCTTGTCGATCAGGGGCCTGTGTGCCACTGTCTGCCGCGGTTGTGTGCCGCTGCCTGTCACGGCTGTGTGCCGCCGTCCATGGCTGTGCGCCGCCGTCCACGGCTGTGTGCCGCCGTCCACGGCTGTGTGCCGCCGTCCACGGCTGCGTGCCGCCGTCCACGGCTGTGTATCGCCGTCCACAGTTGTGTATCGCCGTCCATCACGGCTGTGTGACTGTGTATCGCACGTCCACGGCTGCGTGCCGCCGTCCACGGCTGTGTATCGCCGTCCACAGTTGTGTATCGCCGTCCACGGCTGTGTGCCGCCGTCCATGGTTGTGTGTCGCCGTCCGCGGCCGTGTGCCGCCGTCCACGACTGTGTGCCGCCGTTCACAGCTGTGTATCGCCGTCCACGGCTGTGTATCGCCGTCCACAGCTGTGTATCGCAGTCCACGGCTGTCTGCCGCCGTCCACGGCTGTGTATCGCCGTCCACGGCCGTGTGCCGCCGGCCACGACTGTGTGCCGTCGTTCACGGCTGTGTATCGCCGTCCACGGCTGTCTGCCGCGCGTCCACGGCTGTGTATCGCCGTATACGGCTGTGTATCGCCGTCCACAGCTGTGTATCGCCGTATACGGCTGTGCGACGCCGCTTGACGTGCGTCGCCGCCGCTGTTGGCAGGACGAGGTCGCTAACGTCGTCCAGCGGTGACCGGAGTAGTCGCAAGCTGAGCCGACAGGCGGCCGTGGTGACGCCCGACTCGGAGAGCTGCGCGGATCAGACGCCGGTGAAGTCGTCCCTGGCGTCCGCCATCGACCGGGGCCGCTCGTTGCCGTCGGCGGGGGCGCCGTCCTCCGCCCGCTCGGCAGGGTGGCGCCATAACCGCGTCGTCCCTGAGAGTTCGATCATTCACTGCTCGGCGATGATCCACCGGGAGAGGACGCCCACGTCGGACGCTCGTCAGCAGAACGGCGTGGCGGACAACGACAGGTTCTAGACGGCGGCCACGTCCGGAGGACGTGCCGTGGAGTGCGCTCGTTCAACGGCGCTGGCCTGGCAGCTCCAGGGAGCTACGCCTCGATTCAGCGATGGAATTATTTTAAGCCCAGATTATCCCGCACTTCTACCCAACTGTGTTTCGTGCCTCTGTCACAAAGCATTCTGCCCTTTTGAAGGGATGCGCTGCGTACCTCTGTCACCGACGGTTCCCCTTGTGCCTGTATGAAGTTGTGCTTCTTTCGCCTTCTGAGCTCTAATTAGTGTCCCTGCTAAATTGTGTTCGGCGGTCCCAGGGCGTCCGGTGCCATTCAAGCCGTCAATAGATCCGAATTTTGATGTATCCTCGTATAATCACCGCTTCTCACTGGTATCGCATGGGTGCGTTATTTAGCTACAAATCCCTCTGCGTCATTTCCTTCCTTGTTGACTCTCATTTCCAGTGGCTGGGCCGTGACCCGTGTTATCATAGTTCTGCATCGGTGTAGTGGCTGTTGAAGCGGAGCCTTGAGTCGCAGCGGATCGGAGGCACTGCTGTTCACCTGTTCGTGCGTGACAAGTACTGTATAGCACAATGTATGTTCGTGCTACACTTGTTACCTTGTGCCCCTGTTAGTATATTGTGCTTCTCTCCAAGTGTAGGTACACTTGTTAACTCGAAGAGTTCGGTGGTAAGGTCCCTTTGAAATGAATATGCTGTCGGAGTTCACCGTCTCGTTCTGTCGCTGGGGCTGATCTGGAACAGCAATTTTAGCGTCTGCTTCGGCTCGTCGAATCTGAATGAAACAAACGTGGCATTGTAAGGGGGTATCAGCGGGGTGTAATTAGTGTCAATGAAATAAAATGGAAAACATGCGGACTCACTAGCAGCTCCTTTTACTCCACCGTTCCATTTCAGGCTAACGCAGTCAAAATCAGAGTTACGCACTACACAGACAGTATTCTTCACATAAGCTGTAAGTCGCTAAATGCACGGCATTTGACGTATCCGAATTTGCTGGAGATTCTAGCTCAGACATCGCCCCTACTGGAAGTTTTCGGGCGCGTCGACTGCAAAAGATCACACAGTGTGGCTCCGGCGTGGCGTGGCAGCGCGGCTCGTGCATCGCTGCTCTGACCGAGCCAGAATTGTGCAGGGATCTGGTAGGCTCAGAGCATCAGCTAATGAAGAGATTACATTCCGGCGCCAATATTATCGATGAGGGCATGTGTTCGCCACTGCAGCTGCAGATTTCTAACGGTATCTCCCCAAAACCAGCCACAAGTAGGACTTAATACGGGAGGGTAAAACGTCGGATTTGTCATGAAATGGTTGCTTTTGATAGACTGGGTGCAGGTGTGAATTTGTGCACTTTTGCAGTCATTGCGTAACGCCAAGTCACACAATATTACGGCAATAGAACATCACTCGAAGTGAAAAGAACGAAAATTCCGCCATTCTTAAGGATTCATTTGTTTGATGCGAGAGCAGCACTACATGCTTTTTTTCTGCTGTTTCGATTGCTTTACTGTTATACACAGAGACCAAAGGTAACCAAAAGGTACCAAAGTTGTCCTTGCTGTGTGACCTTGCTTGGTTTGGAATGATCACCGCAACGCTGACCTAGCTGGAGCCAGGTTGACGACTATCAAGCTTGAGACTGCAGGTAGACAAAGGCTCAGTTCATCTGATCAGTCCAAGGATGAAATTCTTACTCTGTTCTGAAACGTGAAGATGTTGGGTACTCCTCGTCCGTCATCGTGCCAGTTGCCAAGACGCCTGCCTGGCGGCGTCTTGATCTCCCTAATAGGATCAAAAGCCGCGGACACCGTCATCTTTGGCTCCGGGTGAATTTGTCCTCGGGACATCCCGGATTTCGGCTGGATCACAGGGTAGTGGATTGCTTTGAAACTTTGTTGGAGTCGAAAATAGTTCAGCTGCCTACAGCTGGGAATTACCGGTGAGTCAACCCCAAGAGAAGTGCAATAACACATGACTTATTCCGATGGCTTTTATATGTGCAGCCACGGCATCACTGGGAGTATCGCTGCCAAATCGTTAAGCTATATCTCAGTTGGCCTTTTTGGTAGCCTTTCGGACGGATCATCTGGCACGCACTGTAATTGGAATCGAATGTATCGGAAGCCATCCCGGGACTGCTCTGCATCTCCCTGATTCGGAGTATGAGTCGACCCGGACCCCTGTCGCACTTACCGGAGTCGGAGACGGAATCCATCCCAGGAGCGTGGATAGGAAGCGGGGTGGATTCCGTCGGGGCGGAATCCATCCCGTGGAGCGTGGATAGGATGCGGAGTGGATTACGGCGGGGTGGAACGAAGCACAAAACTACTGACAAAACCTGTAGATGGGGACACGGACGAACGGGAGCCATTGATCGTTCTCCCTTAGCGTCCCGCCGAAGACACATGATCGGCCACTTCATTAATTATTAGGACGTCAGGCGTCGTCACGTGGATAATCCAGGCTCTTCTGCAGCGGTGACCTTTGTAGTATCCACGTGAACGCGGATAGGTTCGTTCGGCATGCAAATAGATTTGATAGCGGTTGGCGAAACATAAATGAGCTTCAGGCTTGATACTTGTAAGGATAAAGGACACAAGTGTAAACACCAGCGTCGAATGATGTGTCAAGGACATCTCTTGGAAGGTTCCTTTTCCCCAAATTAAAGGCATTGTAGCTACCCGTAGATCACCAAAACTTCGATTAAGGAGCCCCCGATAGCTGAGCTAGGGAGCAATGAATCGGACTCAGAAGACATTTTCTGCATCAAGAGGCACCTTTCCCTGATCATGGGTCCACCTTTATGAATAAGGTAGCCCAGGATCTCGATCTGGTCCCGGGCTCATATTCGGTTCGAGTTATAACCACTATTGCATGGGTGGTTACACCTGTGCGAGAGGGCGTAGTTCAAGTAGGTCGTTCGCCGCAAAGTGTTGCGCTGTTCGCCGTCAAGTGCGCTATATTGGCCATTCATAAACCCAATCATGTGACAGTGCTCACTGCCCCCTTGTCGCGCCACAAGTCGAGTGTGACTCTGTACTCGGACAACAGGAGGTTGTGATCAACCTGCATAAGAGTAGGTTCCCGCGCCCCTGACTGCCGCTTTTGTGGATCGTTTTTCGGCGTCGACACTTTTAGGTGTGACGTATCCAATTGCGCGTGAGCCCGTTGGGCGCGTTTTCCTGTCTGAGTTCGGACCATCCGTTTTTTAGACCAATCGTAGGTCAAGATGGCCATTGCGACCCGACTAGTCGCTGCTTGTGGTCTTATTTCCAAGTTATAAGCTGTTGTAATTTTTTCTGTGTAATTGCCGCCACGCAAAATCGCATCCCTGCCTGCCCGAAAGCAGGTCACCGCCTCCGAATCAGGAAGCGGTGACCTGCAGACCCAGGTTACAGACCAGTGAAATGGATTATGATATCCGTTATGACCAGGATGGTGTCTTGTGCATACCATGGTTCACGGCATGAGTAAGTCGGATGTGAAAGGCCGCTTTTCATTGTTGCAAACCCAGCTGTGTAGCAAAGCACCGGGATCTTTAAACCCGTGGGCTCCACCGGGGCACTCATTTCTGTTTTCGGCTTTGCGCTCTGGGTCAGGCCCGTGGGGGCGGTGGGCGTGCCTTAACGGCAATGGTTCGTTGACCTATTGACGTACGTGTGGCGTTTGACAACGACACTGTTGACTGTACCCTTCCGAAGACTTCGGCCGGGATCCGTGCGTTGATCCTCACAAGATCGCTTGAAACTGGCTCGACTTAAACTTCCTTGGCACCCATATAGATATGACAAATATCAAGTCGTCGTTATCATCACAAAACAGGAGGTCATAAAAATCATAAAACAGGACGACATCATAATAATATCACAAAACAAGAGGCCATCACAAAACAGGAGGCCACCAGTCATACCTTGAAATGCTCAGACTCCTCCAGTTGCTCTCGCTGTGCCACCGTCGTCGAAGGGGAGACATGGTAACAGTGTACCAGCTGTTTCACCGAGGTATGTCGCTGTCGGAAGAGGAGTTCCTGACAAGGCACAACTCGGAGGTGATAAGAGAACACCAATGAAAGCTCAGAAAACCTGGAGCTAGGACTCGCGTTCATCGTAACTCGTTCTGCACGTGGGTCGTCAACGATTGGAACGCTCTTCCACACCCGGTCGTGTCGTCAACCTCAGATGAACAATTCGAGCCTAGGCTTGATATGTATTGGGCTGACATTATGTATGATAGCCCACACTGAATCTACCCATGATTTGAGACTGTTTGGTTACCGGAACAAGAGCCTGACGAGACCGGGACCTACAGGCCTACTGGTCTTTTATAGTTCCCGACCACCATAAGGTAAGGCAAGGTAAAGAGGTGAGGTAAACACTGTTGAACTCGTGATAACGCTCAATAACTACGCCTTCAACCGCGGACAATTTTTAGCATAAATATTTTCAAATATTGGCTAACTTTTTAGGTTCCCCTCTCTCTGGTAGCCCTTTAAACATCGAAAGTGGCGCAGGTACTGCAATCACACCGTAGTATGCACTAAAACGAGCCTTTGCACTGGCCCGCCCCTAAAAGCTTAGCGAAGCGGAATTCCATGTGTGTGGTATTCCCTCGCTTCCTCTCTGTAATATGGCCACCGGACTTATTTAGGATGAGCCGGTTTTTGTGCGGGGTTAGTTAGAGAGCTCCGCCTTCATCTTTTGGCGGTTGACGCCACTGAAAATGTAGTTGCAATAAATTGTTGTGGCGCGACAACCGAGAAAGTTTGTCACTTGCTCATATTGGCAATGTTTGTGACGTGTTGTTGGTAGCATTTTTGTCTCCTTTGTATATGAACATGAAGCAAACATTTTTGCTAGGCCTTGAATAAGTGAAAATAGAGCAAATATATGCATTTTTGGTGGAAGAATCAGAGTTATCAGTTCCTTAAAAGTGATTTGTATTGCCATTGGTAATACTTTCTGCTTCTCTGGTGTTTTCAATTTTTACAGTATGCTTTTATGTTGTTTTTGTGTTGAAACATTACTTAGTAATGGCAAGCAAACTGCAAGTATTAGCTCATACATTTTTGTGCAAACAGGTGTCATTACTTAAGCTGACATGGATTTTCTTCTATTTTAGATGTTTTGTAAGCTTTGCAGATGTTAAGTGTATTTTTCCATGCATCCACATTGACAAATACAATAAAAAGATGTGCTAGGAATAAAACCAATGTGCATATTGCCAAGTCATTGACAGGTGCAGTGAACTGATGAAGACTGTACACATCTTTACTTTTGCCTACCATGTTCCAGAAAAAAATTGCCATCAGTGCAGGCAATGGCAAGTCCAGTACATGATGAAGATATTGTAAGCAAACTGGAAACACTTGATTTACAGGCTAGCCTCAATGAAGACATAGCCACTGTAAGCATTTGCCAGTTTTGCAGATCACTGTGCTTTGCTGATCATGCTTTCTACACTCAATACATGTGTTCTGCATTTGCATGTCATAAACCTTGATAAGATGCTGAATGTGACTAGTTTGAACAGATCATGTAGCAAGTACCAGAATTATCCAGGTGTGAAAATATTGGTAATTTCTGCACAGTGAAGCTCTTTATAAGATGTACATCAATGTTAGAATGTCCAGGCTAGCAGCTATAGCAGCTTTTACCAATGTCCTCCTCACATATAACATTAATTATTATTATGGTATCAGGCTTTCAGCCAATGCGCTGATCAGTGCGCTTCTTTCAGCTGGACACAGATGAATTTCACCTGCCGCCTGTTGATACACTGCCTACACTGGAGAGCATCCTGGGAGAGGATGTTGGTGCTATTTCTCCTGTCACCAGTGGTCACCACCAGGTGGGTTGAATCATACTGGACCTGCAGTAGGTGCTATGTCTGGTCATGCAAACCAACTGTTGAAAAATGAGATGGATGTTTTGCTGTGATGATGCTGTGATGTTGGAAGGATGAATGAGCATATGGTACCAAAAATGTTTCATTCTGTGATGGGGTGTTGCCTGGAAGGAAGGTTCCCAAATGCTCACCACCCTGTTAACTATGGCAATGAAATAATAGTTAAGCAATCCACAGATTTTGAGCTCTTGTGACATTTTGCTCCAGAATCATTAAAACATTCTCAGTAGTGGATTGAAGTAAATTAAACTAGCACCTAACTTATATGATTTAGATGGTTTTTTCTTGTCTTAGAACTTGTATGGCTCATCCCTGTCTCAGAATTGGATTTTGAGGTACAAAAGGCTGGAAAGCACAGTGTCATTATGAGGCTTAACCTGCAATGTCATTAGATTAACAATGCTGTAGATACATGAAATACTGATGCTACTCTTATGGGCAAAACCCACCCGACCCGACCCGACGGTGCGGCGTGGGTGTCCTCCGTCAGCGGCCTCCGGCTCCGTTGCAGGGAGACTCGCAGTCCGAGTCTGGCAGCGTCGGCTCGACCGGCGCCGACAGCGCACCTACCCACGTGCGCCACAGCCCGCTGGCCGGCATTTCGGCGCAGCTGCAGTCTGCGGCGGTACGTCAGGTGATGGCACCGGCCCGCCGCAGACGGGCCGGCGGCGCTCTCCGGCGCGATGCGGTGTCCGGCGGTGGGATGGCGTCACTTTGGGCACGCTATTCGCCATGAATGCACCTGCGAAAATTGGGGTATCGCTCTTCGCGTGGAACGGCCACCGCGTGGAAGCGTGCCTGTTTTGGCCTCGAGGTCACCATGGGAGCTGTTTGTGGGCCAACCCAAGGGATCGTCGGTGCGGCCTTGGCTGTTGTGTTGTTGAAGTACGCGTTGGCCTTTGGTTGTGCTCCCTGTTGTGCTCCCTGTTGTGCTCCCTGTCTGCGTGCCTTGTCACGTGCCTGAGCTGCGCCGGCGCGCCGACAGGAGCGCGTGTCCGCCGGCGTGCCAACGGCGCTGGCAGCCGGTGCCGTCATAGCGGTCGGCACCTCGCATGGCCTCTGCCTTGTGTTCGAGATGCACGAGGCCATGCGGTTCTGCCTGGGCGATGTGGCCACCGGCCAGCGGCTGGGTGCCGTCTCCTGCCTGCACTTGTCTCCAGACGGCAACAGGTGGGCCGTGCCGACGACGGCGGCTGACTGCTGCCCGCCTAGCCGTACCGTCACAGCGCCCTGTCTGCCCCTATGCAACCGTACCAGCTGTTAGTCATGTGTTGATGCGTGTTGTTCTTGAGTCATAGCGTTCTTTTTCGTGCGGACTTATGGACCCGTACCATGCCGTTTCTCAGTGACCACGATCTCACTAACTGACGCGTTGTGACGCTATCGTTCTGCCCGGCGCGGCAGGCTGATGGCCGGCTACGCGCGGGGCCAGATCCAGGTGTATGACCTGAACCAGGGCAAGCTGGTGCTCACCATCAACGAGGGCATACCGTGCGCCGCGGCCGTCATTCATATCCGGGTAACTGCACCGGGTCGGGGTCACCGCGTCACTTATTGCCGCCTAGGTAACCGCCCAGGGAACTAATACTGAGCAGTCACGCAGTGCTCGGCCCCGCGGCAAGTCTTCATAGCCTCAGCATGGACCTCAGCAGCATAGCGCTCATAGCAAAGCGGCAACATAGGTATCAGGTGGTGCTGTGTGTTGGCGCTGCCCGCGCCGGTTAGCGGTCTGAGCCGACGGGGTATGAACACTGGCCTTGTAGGAGCGGACAGGGGCTCAGTACTTTTCTCTCTGTGGGTGCAGTGAATCCGTCCTGTCGCCTGTTCGGCGACGGTGATGGCGATGGTTGTGGTAGTGGTTGTCGCAGCGCTCGGTTGATCTGACAGTAGTGGTACCACAGTTGTTCTGTTGGTGGCTTGTCATGTCTGCTTCCGTAATGGCGGTCGTTGTTTTGTTAAATGTTGGATTTCTGGTTGGTAGTCCACGCCCTGGATAGCCGGTAACCTGGTGACATAGTGGTCCTGCTAAGAGAGCTGTTCCAGTGTATGACAGCCGTGTGTCCGGTATGTGACAGCCGGCCGTGCACCCAGTGCGTCATAGCCGGCCTTGTGGCCGGTGTGTGACGGCCGTGTGGCCGGTGTATGACGGTCTTGTGGCCGGTGTGTGACGGCCTTGTGGCCGGTGTGGTGACGGCCGTGTGGCCGGTGTATGACGGTCTTGTGGTCGGTGTGTGGCGGCCTTGTGGCCGGTGTGTGACGGCCGTGTGGCCGGTGTATGACGGTCTTGTGGTCGGTGTGTGGCGGCCGTGTGGCCGGTGTGTGACGGCCTTGTGGTCGGTGTGTGACGGCCGTGTGGCCGGTGTGGTGACGGCCGTGTGGCCGGTGTATGACGGTCTTGTGGTCGGTGTGGTGACGGCCGTGTGGCCGGTGTGTGACGGCCTTGTGGTCGGTGTGTGACGGCGTGTGGCCGGTGTGTGACGGCCGTTGTGCCGGTTGTGACGGCCGTGTGGCCGGTGTGGGACGGCCGTGTGCCCGATGTGTGACGGCCGTGTGCCCGGGTGCGTGACGGCCGTGTGCCCGGTGTGTGACAGCCGTGTGTCCGGTGTGCGACGGCCGTGTGTCCGGTGTGTGACGGCCGTGTGGCCGGTCTGTGACGGCTGTGTGCCCGTATGTGACAGCCGGCCGTGTGCCCGGTGTGTGACGGCTGTGGCCCGGTGTGTGACGGTGTGGCCGTGTGTGACGGCTGTGTGGCGGTATGTGACGCCTGTGCCCGTGTGTGACGGCCTTGTGCCCGGTCTGTGACGACCGTGTGCCCGGTGTGGACAGCCGGCCGTGCCGCCAGTTCACCGACTGGCCGGACTGGCCGTGTTCACGACAGCGGCGGCTGGTGTTCGAGGGCGGCCTGCGCCGCTCGCTGGGCCGGCGCTCGGCCGACGCGCGCTGCCTCTTCTCCGGCAGCCGGGGCGAGGTGGTGACTGTCGGAGCCGCTGCCCGCCGCCGACCACCCCACCCACGCGCTTCAACCAGCACATGCTGGTCGCTATGGCGACCATGTCTAAGGTGAGGCGGTCACGCGTGGCGCTCGATGCGGCTGGCTTTGTGTCAGTGTTGGTGGCGGCGGTGGCAGGTAGGTGTTTTGCTCACGGCTGCGCTGGCGCACCGCGCACCTGGTGTCATACTTGAGGCCTCTCCACGGCGTAGACGACCACGGCGGATCGGTCAGTCCCAGAAGTAGCCGCGATTGCCGTGAAGGGCGATGTCGGCGATGTCTTGGGACGCCGACCAGCGGACGGCGCCGTCGTCTGACCCGCCGCCGCCCCGCCAGGTGATCGTGGTCAGTGTGCGGCCGCAACTGCGCGTGCTGTTCACCCACCCGCTGGAGGCCGGACCGTTGCATGTACCGCTGCTCGACTGGCAGTTCGTCGTCATCCGGGTCAGCAGCGGCGTCAACATGGTCGACCCCGTGCTCACCTTCGCCAGGAAGTCTACTGTGTACTTCTACCAGGTGCGTCTTGAATGGTCTGATTTTGCTCCTTTCGGTCGTTTACTTGCAGAGGCTTAGCTGAGATCGCTGCCTGAGGGATTGTGACTCGGGTGCCGAAGCTAAATGCTTGCGTTTCGAAGTAAAAAAGACCATTCGTGGTGAGGTACGGATGTTTGGAGTCATAGTGGCCCAGTGATCTCAACGGCGTTTGTTTACGAATATACAAGCATAGTTACCTTTCGCCGGCTGCGGGATGGCTGCCGCTATATTGTGACCGCGTGCCGTTTGTTCGGCGTCCGGCATCGACTGTGTCGGTCACGCACGGACAGCTCGCGATTGAGGAAGAGCAGCCCCTTGACGTCTGCCAGCGCCTTGACACCCGGCCGGCCAGGAGCGCGGCGGCCGACCGGCCCGCTGACGGCCGCGCCGGCGTCGCCAGGTGTGCTGTCCGGCGGAGCGGGTCAAGTTCGTGCCGCTGCAGTGGGTGGAGTTCCCGTTCTTCGTCCAGAACCTGCACTGGATCAGCTCGCGCACGCTGGCGCTGATCGACGGCCAGGAGAAACTGCACCTGTGGGACGTGCGCGGACAGCAGCAGCTCGAGGTGCGACCCGGCGCGCGCCGCCGCCGGGCAGACACCCCGAGCGACGGCGGGTACAGTTAATGCTGCTAGGTAGCAGCTGTAGGAGGGTTCGTGGGGCAGGGTAACTGTTGCTTGCGTACTGAGTCGTGTATGCCTTTTTGGCGTGTGATTAGCAAGGGGTTATTGGAATAAGTTTCGGCTAAAGAGGTGAGTTGTGATTGGCAATCCAATGTGAGGAAACTTTATGTCCACTTGCTAGCAGTGGGAGTTATTAAATATCCACTGGAGTTATCAAATATCCACTTAAATATTGCTGTCCATCGCCAACATATGAGCCATGGTCCATGCAAGTCCATGAACCAACCACGCAAACTTCTTCAGCCAGTTGCGGCGATGGCGCAAGTCCAAAAATGCACTGTCAGCCCTTTGTAGTGTCCAGAGTGGCTTACCAATGGCAATCATAAACGGAGCGGTTAGAGTTGATCCCATGGCATGCTGCGCCACTGGTTATCCCGTTCATATATAAATGACTGCCAGGCGTGCATGAACGCCATACATTGTTTCATGCAGTTTATGATGTGATGCTTCTCTTAGTGTGCGATAGTATGTGTATATTTGTGTTATGATGATATGATAAGGAAAGGCCAACAGAAGCTCTTCTTTTTCGTCGTTCCCAGTAATAAGGTTGGCGTGACAATCAGATACCAGGCGATGTTGGTGAACTTGCGAGGTGTGAAAACTGAAAAAGAAGTAAACCTTCGTTAATGAATGTGAATTTCACTTAATTGAAAACACATGGTGGAAACAAGCACAAAATAATTACGCGATTAGCAATCCTGATGCTCAATGTGCTTACTAATAGTCTGGTCGACTAGAGATCGATCTAAATTTGAGCTTGCCAATCACTGACCTGGTGCCGACCTAAACGTCAGTACTCGGGGTTGGAGAAGGCTGTCGTTCCATCTCCAGTTCCGTCGGCTAAAACCGATGATTGTTCATGTACTAGAAATATAAAAGACGCAGATGCTGGAACGCGTCGCGAAAAAGTTGTATTCAGAAAACGTGTTGTCTCGTGTGTTGTCGACTCATATTTACGTTATGATCTCGTCACAGAGGATGATATGACGTCGTTTCAGACATTGGATCTCAGTTTTGTGAAAATGGTCTATTCCACAAGCTACTTCAAAGGGCTGGCAACGGGAGGAAACGTCAGCAAGGCAATGGTGAGCAGCGGAATGATCATTGAACGGTAACCCACGATCTCCACCGCATGACCATAAGAAGAGGGAAAATGGATACCAGTTTTCGTGTGAATCTTTTGTAACCCAAATGTTGCTTGGCCGGGCGTTGCGTATCCGTGTATGCCTATGGATTGTGTGTGAGGCCATGTCGCAAATTTCTGTTCAGTCTGTACTACATCATCTGTTTGCGTGGGGTTGCACGCACACATCTATGTAAGCTCGTATACGTCAATGCATTGCACGGAGAGACGCGCACGCGCACATGCCGAGTCAAGACCCAGACCGTTCTGCCCGGCACCGAGTGCTGTCCGTCTGCCGACAGGCTGTGGCCGGCGAGAAGGCCTGCTTCGAGTCGTGCGCCGTCTCCAGCGGCCAGCTGCTGCTGCTCGGCACGCGCGGCGTGCACGTGGTGACGCTGCGCACGTGGCTGGAGCGGCTGGAGTCGCACGTGCGCGCCGGCGAGTTCGCGGCGGCACTCCGGCTGGCGTGGGGCATGTACACCGAGCAGAGTCCGGCGGCGACCGGCGCGCGCGCCGCCTCCGGTCGCCGACAGGCCATCATCAAAGAGCGGGTGCGTGGGTGCCGTGGCGCCACAACCGGGGGTCTGAACGCATTCTGGTGTGCCGGCTGGCATGCCAGTTTGTGGCAGCAGATGTCTGCGGGGCGATTGTCCCGCGTGGTGCTCTGGCGCCGGGACTCTTTTTCGCTCCCATTTCTTGCCTTGGCTGCTGTGTTTTCTGCGTCTTTGCTTGCTTTCCTCGCCTTCGTTCGTGCGTCAGTCGGAGCCGCCTCTTGTTCGGCGGACCCGGTGGCTGCTGCGCGGCGTGACTGGTGCCTGTCGTGCCCTCCCGCCGCCGCCGCCGCCGCCGCCGCCCCTCTCAGGGTGACCTTCCGCCTGCCGCCGTCAGATGCTGTCGCTGGTGGACGAGTGGCTGCTCTTCTGTCTGGCCGCCGACCAGCGGGATCAGTCGCTGACCCAGGCCCTGCCCACCTGTGTGCAGTACCTGCTCGACCTGGACGAAAGGTAGCGCCGCGCTGCCCGGCCCGCCTTCCAAACGGCTTAGTGTGGCGGCCCGGTGGGGTCATCAGCAGTGAATACGCGTGTGACTTGTGAGAGGCCCGATTTCCACTGCAGTTTGCCAGCCACTTGCGCTTTGCTTGCATCACGGGCTTTCCTTTTGTCCGCCATTGATGGATGTGGCACTGTTTGTTCGTATTTATGTTCCGTTGGGGCGACACTAGCGTGCTGCCCATACCCAGCGAATCACAGCGTGTCTGCGAGGTATGTGCTGTTTGTCATCAGTTCAGTATTGGTTGTGTTCGCTGTCGATATGCTGTTTGTCGTTCGCTGAACTCCCTGCGCGTCGGCCAGTGCGGTGCTGTTCGGCCGTGTTGTGGGTCTGCTGGAGCCAGAACCGGCCGCGTATCAGCTGTTGCTGGAGGCGCTGCTGCCGCACATCGTGTCCGGCCGGCTGACGGCGCCGCCGCCGCTGCTCATGCAGCAGCTGGTGACGCACCTGGAGCACCAGGACCAGCTGCAGGTGCGTGGCGCCCCGTCGCTCGTGTGCGGTGTGTGCTGGACCCGCGCCAGACGGCGTGAGCGGGGGTGTGGCGGTGGACTGCGGCCAGCCGGCGGCGCGGCGGGCGTGATCACGCCGCTGCGCTCAGTAAGCGTCTGGTGCGGCTGATAACGGCCATTGGTGGTGCGTTTTGTATCATTCGCTGCCCTGGTGTCGGTTTGCACAGTGTAAAGAACGCGGTTTCTGGTCGGAAGCTGCGTGGCCAGCGCGGACGATCCCAGAGGCGACCATGCCCGCACCAGCCGGACCGACTCAGGTCACAGTTGCTCGGCCTGGTCGACGGAGAGGTCACGGGCTCCACCGGCCGGACGTTCCAGCGGCGCATCCGGCACTGGCCCGGCGGCGCACACAACATGACGGCGGCGCCGCACGTTCAGCTGTGGTCCGTGCAGTGTCCAGTGATGGTCGGCTGAGGCCGTGCCGCGTCCGACAGGCGCTGCAGGAGTGTCTGGTGCGGGCGTCCAGCCGTGGTCCGTGCAGTGTCCAGTGAGAGTCGATTGAGGCCGTGCCGCGTCCGACAGGCGCTGCAGGAGTGTCTGGTGCTGGCGTCCAGCAGTAGTCTGTACAGTGTTCAGTAAGAATCGACTGAGGCCGTGCCGCGTCCGACAGGCGCTGGAGGAGTGTCTGGTGCGGGTGGAGCTCGGGTCGCTGGACATACACCAGGTGCTGCCGCTGTGCTGGCGGCGCGGCCTCTACGACGCCATCATCCGGATCCACACGGCCGGCATGGGCGACTACCTGTCGCCGCTGCTCGAGCTGCTGGACCGCCTCAGTCAGCTGCTGACGGACGGTACGGGGCCAGGGAGGGCCGTCGCTGTCGCTGTCGCCGTTCCATCGCCATCACCATCACTATCACCATCACCATTACTATCATCGTCACCATCATCATCAACATTACCATCACCATCACCATCAACATCACCATCACCATTACCGTCACCATCGGCATTGACATTACCATCATCATCACTATCACCATCACCATCACCATCCCCATTACCATCACCAGCACCATCCTCATCCTCATCCTCATCCCCATCCCCATCCCCGTCCCCGTCCCCGTCCCCGTCCCCGTCCCCGTCCCCATCCCCGTCCCCGTCCCCGTCCCCATCCCCATCCCCATCCCCGTCCCCGTCCCCGTCCCCGTCCCCATCCCCATCCCCATCCCCATCTCCGTCCCCGTTCCCCGGGGCGGAGCGGCTTGCGGACCGGTCCGGCCGTGCGGCACGGAGGCAGAGCGACTCTGCTGGAGATTGTGTGGATGTCCGTGCCAATAAGGCGCCCATGACGTCGTACCGGTGGGGACAAGGCAGACGGCAGTACTGCCGCCGTGACTCCCCGGTGGGAACAGCCCCATGTCATGGCGAGCAAATGGCGCACTGATTCCTTGCGAGACCCCTTCGTCTTCGTCCGGGCTGTGCTGCATTCGCCGCCGTAGCGTATCACGAGCGCAGTTGAGGCCGGGGTCTCGGCGCCGCAGTCGCTCCACTTGATATGCGTTTCGCGCTCGAGTGCTGGTCTGCCCCGGCCGCAGGCGCCCCTCTGATGGACGGCCAGGCGCAGCTGGGCAACAAGCTGCTGGTGTACATCTCGAGCTGCCTGGCGGGCCGCGGCTACCCAGCCGGCCAGATCCCGGCCGAGCGCGTGCACGACGTCAAGCTGGCCGTGCTCAGTGCGCTCACGGCCGTCCACTCAAAGAACGCGGCCGACGCCGAGCCGCCCTACCCGCACCTCAGGTCAGCAGGGTCACGGGTCCCGCACCTCAGGTCAGCAGGGTCACGGGCCCTCATCTCAGGTCAGGAGGGTCCCAGTCCCGCACCTCAGGTCAGGAGGGTCACGGGCCCTCATCTCAAGTCAGGAGGGTCGCAGTCCCGCACCTCAGGTCAGGAGGGTCACGGGTCCCGCACCTCAGGCCAGGAGGGTCACGGGTCCCGCACCTCAGGTCAGGAGGGTCACGGGCCCTCATCTCAAGTCAGGGTCACGGCTCCCTCATCTCAGGTCGGTAGGGTCACAGTCCCGCACCTCAGGTCAGGGGGGTCACGGGTCCCTCATCTCAGGTCAGGAGGGTCACAGTCCCGCATCTCAGGTCAGCAGGGTCACAGTCCCGCATCTCAGGTCAGCAGGTCACAATCCCGCATCTCAGGTCAGCAGGGTCACGGGTCCCTCATCTCAGGTGAGGAGGGTCACAGTCCCGCATCTCAGGTCAGCAGGGTCACAATCCCGCATCTCAGGTCAGCAGGGTCACGGGTCCCGCATCTCAGGTCAGGAGGGTCGCAGTCCCGCATCTCAGGTCAGCAGGGTCACAATCCCGCATCTCAGGTCAGCAGGGTCACGGGTCCCGCATCTCAGGTCAGGAGGGTTACAGTCCCGCACCTCGGGTCAGGAGGGTCACAGTCCCGCATCTCAGGTCAGCAGGGTCACAATCCCGCATCTCAGGTCAGCAGGGTCACGGGTCCCTCATCTCAGGTCAGGAGGGTCAAGTCCCGCATCTCAGGTCAGCAGGGTCACAGTCCCGCATCTCAGGTCAGCAGGGCCACAATCTCGCGCCTCAGGTCAGAAGCGTCACGGGCCCCGCACCTCAGGTCAGAATGGTAGCGGGCCTAGCACTTAAGGTCTGGACGCCCACCGGATCGCACTCCGATCTAACCGTAACTAATCACGAAGTTTGCTTCCGGAATTGTTGAAGATTCTGCAGACGGACCTCCCATCCGGTCTGTGCAGGCTGAAAATTGGAGTGTCGCCGGGCTCTGACGTCACGGATGCTGTGTTACCTGAGTGCTGTGTGGCCTTTCGCCGAGCTTAGCCTGATGCTGTCGCAGGACGCTGCTGACGTTCGACACCCGCGAGTTCCTGAACGTGCTGTCGCTGTCGTTTGAGGAGGATGTGTTCACATCGGAGCTGGGCATGCGCCAGCGCCAGCGCATCGTCGACATCCTGCTGACCCTGATGGTGGACCGGGAGGAATACTCGGTGCGGAGCTGCCGCCGTCGTGCACTGCCGGCCCGGGCTGGCTGCTTGCTGTCACCTGGCCCGGTGCCGGCCAGCCAGCACTGTGATACGCCTCACTCACCTGTGGAACTGTGACAGGAAGCTGTTCACGCCATGCGTTGGCTGGGGAATCAAAGCAGATGTCGAGCGCAGGCTGCTGGTTGTATTGGTGGTCATGCATGTTTGCAGAACTTACCTTGGTTTCTGATATGATACGGAAACTTCGTCCATGTGTGAGTGAAGCACAGTGCGTAATTAGGAACTGACATTTCTTACACGCCACGCATATTTGACGTGCGCACCATAGACTGACTGCAGGGGTGCGTTAGGCGGCCACCTCCGCTGCCGCTGATGCCGTGCCGTGTGTGGGGCGGTCAGAGGTGGGGGTCTGCCTGTGGGACGCCGCGGCGCCGCCCTCCCGCGTTAGGCGGCCACCTCCGCTGCCGCTGATCCGTGCCGTGTGTGGGGCGGTCAGAAGTGGGGGTCTGCCTGTGGGACGCCGCGGCGCCACCCTCCCGCTCACAGCTCCGTCTGGCCGGCAGCCCTCGCAGCTGGGCTCCCTCTTCACCTTCATCGCTCGCCAGATGGCGCTGCCCAACAGCACCGTGTCCGTGTCGCGCGATCTCTTCGATAAGGCGAGTGCGACCTCCGCGCTGTCGGCAGAGTCCCGTGCGGTCGCGTTGACGTTGTCGGCGCTTCGTGCCTAAGGAAACATCCAGCCTTGTGTTTTCCTGCGTGCGTGCGTGCGTGCGTGCGTGTGTGTGTGTGTGTGTGTGTGTGTGTTGTGCTGTCGGTGCATGCTTCCTGTGTCGAACTGAGTTTGGCGATGTCTTAATGCGCGCACGACATTGGCAAACTGTTGCTGATCACACCCGTTATGATGGGGGGGGGGGGGGGGGGGCAGCATATTAAGACTCGTACCGTCTCTCGTCGCGCGCTCCCGGCAATGGGTCGGGGCAAGTGGCTGTCGTCTCCGCGCGGCCGGCCGCGGTACGTGCGGCCCCTGACGCTCGCCCACTGCTCCAGGTGGTGGACCACCTGACAGTGCCGGGCGACACGGCGCACCACGAGGAGCGTCAGCAGGCCCTCTGCGAGCTCATCTCCACCGGCGTGCTGGAGCACTACGACACCGAGCGGCTGGCACAGCTGGCCGAAAAGGCCAAATTGTAAGCTTAACGCTGGCCGCTGCAGATAGCTGAATGGCTGTCATGGCTGGCAACCCACCAGATGCTTGGTGGCCGTCATTGCGCTTTCTAACGTGATTTCTGTTCGGCTGCTTAGTGGCCAAACATGAGTCATATGCATTGCGCCGTTGCGGGGTCTCCGAGTATTACAGTACTGGCCGGTATCTGCCACTTGGGCGCCGTACAGCGGCGTATCTGACCGTGTCGGCTGCTCATGTACTGTACAGCGGCGGGTCTGACCGTGTCGGCTGCTCCTGTACTGTTCAGCGGCGGGTCTGACCGTGTCGGCTGCTCCTGTACAGTACGGCGGCGGGTCTGACCGTATCGGCTGCTCTTGTACTGTACAGCGGCGGGTCTGACCGTGTCGGCTGCTCCTGTACCGTACAGCGGCGGGTCTGACCGTGTCGGCTGCTCCTGTACCGTACGGCGGCGGGTCTGACCGTGTCGGCTGCTCCTGTACTGTACAGCGGCGGGTCTGACCGTGTCGGCTGCTCCTGCACCGTACAGCGGCGGGTCTGACCGTGTGGGCTGCTCCTGTACCGTACGGCGGCGGGTCTGACCGTGTCGGCTGCTCCTGTACCGTACAGCGGCGGGTCTGACCGTGGCGGCTGCTCCTGTGCCGTACAGCGGCGGGTCTGACCGTGTCGGCTGCTCCTGTACTGTTCAGCGGTGAATCTGACCGTGTCGGCTGCTCCTGTGCCGTACAGCGGCGGGTCTGACCGTGTCGGCCGCTCCTGTGCCGTACAGCGGCGGGTCTGACCGTGTCGGCCGCTCTTGCTCGTACAGCGGCTGGTCTGACCATGTCGGCCGCTCCTGTGCCGTTATGCGGCGTATCTGACCGTGTCGGCCGCTCCTGTACCGTCAGGCGGCGTATCTGACCGTGTCGGCCGCTCCTGTGCCGTTAGGCGGCGTATCTGACCGTGTCGGCCGCTCCTGTGCCGTTAGGCGGCGTATCTGACCGTGTCGGCCGCTCCTGTACCGTTAGGTGGCGTATCTGACCGTGTCGGCTGCTTCTGTACTGTACAGCGGCGGGTCTGACCATGTAGGCCGCTCCTGTGCCGTTATGCGGCGTATCTGACCGTGTCGGCCGCTCCTGTACCGTTATGCGGCGTATCTGACCGTGTCGGCCGCTCCTGTACCGTACAGCGGCGGGTCTGACCGTGTCGGCTGCTCCTGTACCGTACAGCGGCGGGTCTGACCGTGTCGGCTGCTCCTGTACTGTTCAGCGGCGGGTCTGACCGTGTCGGCCGCTCCTGTACCGTTATGCGGCGTATCTGACCGTGTCGGCCGCTCCTGTACCGTACAGCGGCGGGTCTGACCGTGTCGGCTACTCTGTACCGTACAGCGGCGGGTCTGACCGTGTCGGCTGCTCCTGTACCGTACAGCGGCGGGTCTGACCGTGTCGGCTGCTCCTGTACTGTTCAGCGGCGGGTCTGACCGTGTCGGCCGCTCCTGTACCGTACAGCGGCGGGTCTGACCGTGTCGGCCGCTCTTGCTTGTACAGCGGCTGGTCTGACCATGTCGGCCGCTCCTGTGCCGTTAGGCGGCGTATCTGACCGTGTCGGCCGCTCCTGTACCGTTAGGCGGCGTATCTGACCGTGTCGGCCGCTCCTGTGCCGTACAGCGGCGGGTCTGACCGTGTGTGCCGCTCCCCAGCTACGCCATCTGCCAGCTGCTGTACGAGCGGCGCGGCGAGCACGACCGCACGGCCGGCTGTATGCTGCGGCACCGGCCGGCCGCGGCGCGCTGCACACCGCTTCCTGGCCGACCGAGCGGCTGCCGAGCGGGCCGGCGCCGGCGCGCCGCGGTCCGGCCGCCCGCGACAGCGCCTCCGTGGCGCTCAGCCTGCTGACGGTGAGCCGCCGCACGGTCTGGGTCGGGGCTGGCCCGCCGCCGTCCGGCCGCCCCGCGACGGCGCCTCCGCGGCGCTCAGTCTGCTGACGGTGAGCCGCCGCGCGGTCTGCAGTCGGGGCTGGGCCCGCCGCCGTCCGGCCGCCCCGTGACAGCGCCTCCGTGGCGCTCAGCCTGTTGACGGTGAGCCGCCGCACGGTCTGTGGTCGGGGCTGGGCCGCCGCCGTCCGGCCGCCCCGTGACAGCGCTCCGTGGCGCTCAGCCTGCTGACGGTGAGCCGCCGCACGGTCTGCGGTCGGGGCTGGGCCCGCCGCGGTCCGGCCGCCCCGCGACAGCGCCTCCGTGGCGCTCAGCCTGCTGACGGTGAGCCGCCACACGGTCTGTGGTCGGCGCTTGGCTCGCGGACGGAGCGGGTGCTGGTCCCCGGTTGGATTGCCCCAGCAAGGTGGGCGCGGCTGGGCGGGGATCACGACACTGGGGCCAGCAAGTCCCAGAATTGTGTTATAAATGCGCGTTTGGCTGATACATCTATGCAGTGTGATTGGCTGCTTAGATCAATTGTTCCGTTGATGTGTGTGAAGTCCTTGCATTTCGCGGTGACTAATGCATGTTCGTCTTTAAAAGGTCGCCGCCACGACCTTGCATGTTAATAAGGGTTCCCATGCAGCAGTATGACTGCGTCTTGGCGCGCTGTTTTGTAGCTGCTCACGAATTGAGGTATTCGTAAGGCTTTTTCATGTCATGCCCACGGGGTTTTCTACTCATCCTGTAGTGCACACACACACGGGTGATGTCTTATCCCTGCAATGCACAGCACAGTGCCAGTTCTGATTGTGACCGCACCGCGCCGCCGCTGGCCGCGTCTCCGTGGGGGGCCGCGTGTGACGGCCGGTTCGGCCACAGGAGCTGGTGAAGATCGACGTGGCGGCCACGGCCACGCTCTTCACCACCTGTCTGTCGCGACACCTGGAGGCGGCCGTCCAGACGCTGGCTCCGTGGCCTCAGCAGCAGTACCGCTTCCTCGGCGCCGTCCTGCAGCAGAGGTGGGTCCCGCTGTCGTTCCGCAGCAGAGGTGGGTCCCGCTGTCGTTCTGCAGCAGAGGTGGGTCCCGCTGTCGTCCTGCAGCAGAGGTGGGTCCCGCTGTCGTTCTGCAGCAGAGGTGGGTCCCGCTGTCGTCCTGCAGCAGAGGTGGGTCCCGCTGTCGCCCTGCAGCAGAGGTGGGTCCCGCTGTCGCCCTGCAGCAGAGGTGGGTCCCGCTGTCATCCTGCGGCAGAGGTGGGTCCCACTGTCGTGCAGCAGAGGTGGGTCGCGCTGTCGTCCTGCAGCAGAGGTGGGTCGCGCTGTCGTCCTGCAGCAGAGGTGGGTCCTGCTGTCGTTCTGCAGCAGAGGTGGGTCCCGTTGTTATCTTGCAGCAGAGGTGGGTCCCGCTGTCGGTCTGCAGCAGAGGTGGGTCGCGCTGTTATCCTGCAGCAGAGGTGGGTCCCACTGTCGTTCTGCAGCAGAGGTGGGTCCCGCTGTCGTTCTGCAGCAGGGGTGGGTCGCGTTGTCGTCCTGCAGCAGAGGTGGGTCGCGCTGTCGTCCTGCAGCAGGGGTGGGTCCCGCTGTTATCCTGCAGCAGGGGTGGGTCCCGCTGTCGTTCTTTAGCGGTGCCTCTGCTGTGTCCCCGCCGTGACGCCCGAGCGCTGCCTGGTGTCAGCCGGACCGGCCGGGGTGTGAGGGCTGCGGACAGGCGCTGGCGGCCGGTGATGTGCTGGGCGCCGCCCGGTGGTTGCTTGTCGCGGCCAGCTCCAGCTGCGGCGCTTCAGCTCTCGGGCCGTGACCGATGTTCAGGCGTTATGTTAGTCCCTGTGTCGTGCTGCTCTTCAGGATCTGTAGGCGTACGAGCAGTTTGGTGCGTGGTAGTTTGCAACGCTTACGGTTGGGAGTGGGAAGCGTATCGGACCCGTCCGCCGTCAGCTCCACTGCGACTCTGTTTTCTATGTGTCAGCCCCTCTCCTACGGGCGGTCCAGTTCCAGTGTTGTGCCACTGTTTACCCACCAGTCTCTCTGACCATTGGTCCGGTGTGTCGTCAGTTCCAGTGTGGTGCTGCCCGCCTCCGTGCACCGGCGGCATCTGGACCTGATGTGCCAGCTCGACCAGGACCAGGTGGTCCAGTTTCTCAGCAGCCAGGACGTGCTTGATGTCGAACAGTACCTGCAGGTATGTTTCAGTGCCCAGATACAGCTGTGCCTGCTAGCGTGTTCAGTCTAACTTTATGTCTGTGTTCCCTGTTCAAGAGTTTGAACCTGTACGCGCTGGTCCAAATAGCGTACCTTGTCACGCTGCTACCATCTCGTCTAATGCTCTTTTACAGATTTGTCAGAAGGCGGGCAACAAAGAGGGGGAGGCCTACCTGCTGGACCTGAAAGGCGACACTGTGGCCGCCTTGGGGGCTCTGGTGGACGGCCTGGACGGCCTCGGACAGGTGAGCCATTCCTTTGCTTTGACCCCGACAGTGATGAGAAAACAGCGCCATACCGTAGGCACCAGGACGTAAGATCGCTGTGATCAGCGGGGGTGACGCGGTCACTCTGCGACCAATGAAGATGTTACGTGGCTTCGTTGTGTGGGACGGGGGGGGGTGGGGGGGGGGGGGGGGAATCCGTGCATAAGCGTGACTTCGTGTTTAGTCTGTGGTCGATGTGTGACCTAGAGCTAGTTGAGGGGGGGGGGGGGGCTGGCATAGGGCAGCGTCACCGTGTGAGACAGGTGGGCCGTGCGAGTGTCATTCCGCCGCCAGTGAGGCTGTCTCATGGTTCCGCTTATGTCAGTACTGGATCTGCACAATCTCCTCCAGCTGAGCCCTGGAGTGCGCCTGTGTGTCCGCGCCGCGCGGCTTGAGGGCCGCCGTCAGTGGCTCGGCAGGTGCGTCCCCGCCGCCAGTGGTCCGGCAGGTGACGTCAGCCCGTGTGTCCCGGCCGACAGGGGGACGGCGGCCGGCCGGAGCGGCGCCTGAAGGCCGCCGTCCGGCTCTGCCAGCGCTCGGCCAGCCGGCTGCCGGACGCCGAGCGGCGCCGCTGCTGGTTCTCGCTGCTCGACTGTGCCGTCGCTCTGCAGCGCACTGACGGCAGAGGTGAGGCGCCGCCGGTCGGAGACGCACCGCACCGATGGCACAACCCTGACTGTATATGGTGTGGCCGTTCGAGTGGGGAGGAGGGCTGTCAAGAATGCATCCATGATATTGACACTGCTTCTTAGTCCGATCACCGGTGTTTTTTAACGACACCATTGTGGTTTAAGCAAACTCGGATTAATATGTGTTTGTCCACTGTCGTACTCGTCAGTTTCCCGAGATTAGCCGATGTGAATGTAATTTTGCGACCCTATTTCTAAATCGGGCGTCCGTAGCTGCCAGGCGGCGTTGTTCATCATCTCGTTGTCCACCTGTCGGTGGTGCTAACGGCGCATGGTCGGCCTTCCCCAGAGACGCTGGTGCCGCTGGTGGCGGGCGCAATGATCGGCCACGTGCCGCTGCCGGACGTCATGCGCCGCCTGTTCCAGGAGCCGGCCTACTCCAGCAGGGAGTTTGGTCACCTGCGCCCGCTGCTCACAGGTGCGTCCGTCCGTGGTTGCCGCGGCCGTCCTCGATGTCTGCGCCTCCGTCACTCCTCGTCAGGCCGTCGCGGTACGCCTCGCTTGATATGTCTGGACCTCTCGCCGTGCATCCCCGACCCATCTCTTGCTCCATTTCATTTCGGAATCACCCACCGACTGTCGTACCGTTCACCGCGCCACTTCCTCGTCAGTCGTGTCGCCGAAGTGGGTCTGTCAGTCTGCCGCTTGAAGACAGATAAAGAAGGCATCATTAACGCACACCTCAGCTGCGTTCGATAAAGCCTACAATGCGGGTACGTTCGCCGGCAGACCTGCTGCGCACATGCCAGTACGAACGCGTGCTGTGCGACAGCGCGCGCCGCATTGTGCAGGCCGACACGTGGCACGGCCACTTGCAGAAGCGGCGCGCCTGGAGCCGTGGCTACGGCGCGCCCGAACGGTGCCACGTGTGCGGCCGCCGGCCCGATCTGCAAGCGGGACAGATGATCGCCTTCAGGTCAGACCGGACGCGCCTTTACTGGGGTGGCCCACGGCGATGTCAGATGCCGGGTCAGTGTCATTTAGTGGCGAATCTCTTGGCACGAAACTAAACAAGAATTAGCGTTGGTGTGTTTGTGTGGATATTGTCGTGCGAATCAGCAGCTGGAGCGCAGCTGGGATCGGAAGTGCCGCCGAACTTGGTTCTTTTGCATAGATCTCCGTCTGTGGACACTTAAGCATATCTACGAGTGTGCAGTGCCAGACGCCATGCCATCGACTCCTCCGCTGTACTCGCAGCACCCTCTCGGCTGACCACCACGGCCCCCCTGCGCGCGCAGGTGTGGCCACTTTTGTCATCCGGGGTGCGCGCCGGAACGGCCGAGCGGACGGCCGTGCGCCGTGTGCGGCGACCGGGCCCGTCCAGTGCCGTCCCCCGACAGCGACCCCGGCCGGCCGACCTCGCCCGACCCCGGCGACCCGGCGCCGGCCGAGGCGACCTGAGGGGCCGCTCAGCGAGACTGCCGAGGTGACACCACTGCCGGCGCCGGGTGTACGGCTGTGGTGGGACCGCTACCTGCGCCGGGTGTACGGCTGTGGTGGGACCGCTACCTGCGCCGGGTGTACGGCTTTGGCGGGACCGCTGCCTGCGCCGGGTGCACGGCTGTGGTGCGACCGCTGCCAGGGCCCGGTCCACAGCTGTGATGGGACCGCTGCTGGGGCCGGGTGTACGGCTCTGGTGGGACCGCTGCTGGGGACTGCGCGTTTTGTGCATGGATTGTTGCGACTAGCTTAACGTTAACGCTGCCGACTGCTTATTGGGTCAGAAATGTGCGGTAAAGTTATTCGAGTTTAGTAACCGATGTGCTTACTCGAGATGCAGATATCAGGGAACAAGACGCAGAGCCCTTGAAAATGTTGTGCAGCGTGCAATGTCCTTGGTGGCGATTCCACGTGTTACCATGTACGTGATATGGCGTCCCGAAGAGGTACACAATATTTTGTTTGTTTTCGCTATATTGTGAAGATTGTGTTTATTATGCTTTGGTTCGCGGAAGTGTTAACGAACGACGTCTACATGACATACTAGCGCAGCACGAGAATGGTGCAACACGCACATTCTCGCCCACCATTATCTATGGATATTGTTTTGTGTATCGTGTAAAACAGCATCCAGCACCGATACTCATGTATGCGTCAGAGGATGATCCGTGTGTTGTTTCGCCTTGTGCTGAGGGGGCTGGATGCTTTGTCACGCAGGAGGTGTCTGCACTAGGATGGCCTGCCGTACACGCTTGCCCGATCGTTTGCCGTTGCAAAGCACCAACAAAGACATGTTTTGCGCATGATTGGAATGTCTCCACTGACTGGAAGGTGTCGAGCCAGCCGCGCATCAGGACGCTGATGGTCGGCGGGCTGCTGTATATCCGAACACGTCCTCGGACCGTCGAGTGTCGAAGTTCCCCGCCCCATGTCAGGGACATACCGGCCCGGGTTTCGTTGACTGAACAGGAAATACACAGCGTGCCAGCCGGCTTGATGCCTGCAGACGCGTGGGCATAAGGCCGTTGCGGCCAGCGGGACGGTACGTTGAACAGGTCGCTGCGTTGAGGGCGGTGAGATACGAGGCAATCGACTACGACGCGCTAGGCAAGGCCGCGCGAGACCAACGACACCATCCGCCACAAAGACACCGCGAGTGGTTAACGCGACTGCCTTAACCGCTACGTATCTGGGAAACCAGAGGTGCGGGGTTCGATTCCCCGCGGTGCCCGCCATTCTTGCCAGGGTGAGAGGCAGATGACGCCATATAGCATCAGCAGCTGAGTGCGTCGTAAGGCCCCAATGACATGACACACAAAGACACCGCGAGCAACAGCTCGAATCATGAGAGATACGTTTTGACAAACCACTGGAAGTGAAACTAAAGAATACGCTAGCAATAAAGTGTCCGTGACAGCGGGAACCGAGTGTCACGGCAGAGCACAACCCAAACGTGCTCGACAGACTTCCGAATAGGCTGGGGTCACCTGGCCAGTTCGCTGAGCAAAGAAGACAAGCTGGCGAAGATGTTCTCATTGGGAAGCCCCTGGGCGGGTCTTCGGAAACGGTCACGGAGCTGCGGAGGCTGTCTTGTTCCCGAGACGACCAAGGACTCGCAGCGATCTATCTAGTGGCCCCGTAAGAGCGGGCCCAGGCGATCGGTCCGAGGACGGTCAGCCTTTTGAGACGTGCATCTCCCGTACAACGACGATGGCTTTAACATACTGGTGCTTGCCATGCATTTACTGACAGAGGCGTGTGTTCGTGTGTGCACGCTGCGTTCATTGCACACTGCACCTCACCGTTTAACGGCCGTCTGGGAATGACTCGTTTTCTGCATCGCACGCAACCATAGCGGCGAGCTGTGCGTGGCCGTGTCAATCAGCAAGCCGCGTGTCTCCACTGCGCGCACGTCGGTTCATATATTTACATAATGTGGGAATGATACATCGCACCCCACCAGTGATACAGGCACCACGTCAGGAAGCGAATGCTTCACAGCGTGCAGACACTAACATGTTCCTACTGCTTTCATAGCGCTCGCGCCGCCAGTGAATGACGGGAGGGGGACTAAATGTGGCACATACAATTAACATCGCATAGCTGAATATTAGTTCAAGGTGGATCCGAGGCGAGCCGACAGACATCTGCACCGTCGCGGCATCTTTAGCCCGGGAGTCGCCGCTCACTTCCCAACGGCGGGAGCTGCTGGGGCCTCACTGCGTCGTGGGTAAGGCTCCGTTCTCGCCTGGAGGCCAGGCTCCGACCCCGCCCGTCGTGCTAAGAGACATGTTGTGTACGGGCCGAGTCCGTGACAGCGTACCGTCTGTTCAGCCGGAAACTCGCATTGTTCCGCTCTTGGACAGCTGGCCCACGATCGACTCCGGCTGCCGTTCACATACGGAGTTCTGCCTCAGTGGCGTCAAAAGAAAGTATGGATGTGACATGTGGCATGTGGCATGAATGCGTAGCGTCTCTGATCGCCAGACGTGGGACACAACAGGCCGCGGCTGCCGAGCTTTGTGCCGCCAGTACCGCCTATGCAGGCTGCGACTCCTCGTCCTCACTCTCCTCTTCAGTGGTCGACTGCATAACGCTGCTGATGTACTTGACCAGAGCTTCTTTTAGGTTGTCGTCTGATGACTCTGAAGAGCTTGACGACGAATACTTTTTCCTCCTTTTTACGCGCTTTTTGGGGGATGGCCGCGAAGGTTCCTCCGGCGGCGGAGTGGGACTTTTAGAGAAGTCATAGCCAAACATCGAGGTCGGCTCCTCCACAACGGGGCTCGCACTTTCCAGATCCTCCAAATCCGACATCTGTCGAACGTGACCACGGTTAATACCAATAGGCGGTAGCAAGTTCTCTTTCTTCGCCTTCTTTGCAGCTGATTTTGCTTTTTCCGTCAGCGTCTTTTTCGGCTCTTCCACCTTGGTTCCTACCGTTGTGGAGGATTCCTGCACAGATGTCACATTAACAGACGGCTCACTTTCTAGGCCACTTGGTAGAGTTGTGATTTCATCTGACGATGAACTGTCGCCAGCGTCCTTAGGTATCTCCGGCTTCTTGGCCTTTTTTGGCCGTTTTCGTTTTTTAGCTTTTGGTTTACCAAATAAGCTATCCTTGATCTGGGCGACTTTGGACGAAGCTTTGCCCGTCACCGCTTTTTTCGAGCCTGTTGACTTGCTACTGGTGTTTGAATGTTTTGACTTGTTGCTGGTGCTTGAATGCTTTGACTTGTTACTGGTGCTTGAGTGTTTTGACTTGTCGGAGCTCGATTCGTCAGAACCCTCCGCATCCGACTGCGCCTCGGCTGCCTTCCTGGCCTCGCGTCGCCGGCGCAGTTCCTCCAGCCGCCGTCGTGTCGTCCAGTAGTCGTACGCGATGTAGCTGAAGATCATGAATACCACGATTCCGATCAGTAGCTGTACCAGGTACTTGGTGTGGAATATGAACTCAGACTTGTGAACGTGGAAGGCCAGTGGGTTGCGGTAGTACAGTATGCTGTCGCACACGATGTTGACCCGATTGTGGATGACGATCTGAATTTTGGCCAGCGCATCCGCCACCGTCTCGTTCTCCGGGTTCATGACGAAGTAGAGCGTGGTGTTGGGCCCTGTCGGCCGCAACTCTAGCTTGCCCTTTGTATCCAGCAGGTTGTCGACGCAGAGCAGGCGACGCTGGTACCGGTCCACGCCCGACTGGAAGTACAGCCGAAATCGGCGACACGCGTCGTGTAAGTTCAGCGGCTCGAAACCCACCTGCGTTCTGTAGAAGGAGCTTGCGTCGACACGGATGATGGGTGAGTACCCGGGGCAGTAGTAGCCGAGATCCCGCCATTTGGTGCGGACGCTGACCGTGCAGATGTGGGGAGGCGCGCCCGTCAGGTCCAGGTGGATGTCACCGAGGCCGAAGATGCCTGCCGTTCCACCCCCGTCTCCTCTACGCAGCGTGATGTGCTTGTGACAGCCGTACAGCGACCTGTCCATTTTCTGTCCGTCTCTTTTGTCGCATCGCCTCCCCTTCCAACCGTCCATGCACAGGCACTCGCAGCTGCCTGTGATGCCAAGGATGTTGGGATACTCTTCGGAGCCGACGAAGTCCAAGCAAGCTTTCAGCGACTGCCCGCACTTCACTGCGTACGCCGGCTCCATGCACTTGTTGAACGTATTGATCTGAGCGATATCGATGTTGCGCAGCCCAAAGTATGTGTTGCCGCGGCTGTGGAGGACCACCTGGTCCTCGGCCCGGGGCGTGACGTGCACCGGCGCGTACTCCGAAGAGCCGTAGTCTATGGTGAAGCCGACCGCGCTCGCGCTTAGCACGTCGAACCGATCGCTTACGTTCTCCTTGGTGGTGTGGCAGTAGCCATGCAGTCCCCGGCCGCCCTCGTCGGCCAGCATGTAGTTGGTGTGCATGTGCTGGTAGCCCACGCCAACGGCCAGGCTGACCAACCGAAGCGCCATAGACGGACTGAGACACGTCTCGTTGACCACGAGTCTCTGCGGGTTGCCGCTGGCGCCCAGCAATGAGTAGCAACGATCGCCAGCCTCGATGCAGATGGAGCGGGGGGCGCTGGGCACAGAGTCGGCACACGTTGCGCCGTCAGAAATCTCCGCCGTCTCCACAGTGACACAGGTCTTCTCAGAAACGTCCTCGATGGCTTGCATGAGCCATTTCTTGGCGGAGTCAGATATGCCTCCTGAAGAGGAGAAGAAGTAAGGCACTTTCACGCTACCGCTCAACGTGGGCCAAGGATGCAGTGTTTGTTGAAGGAATTCTCGTGCATTCGCAGCGTTTTCGTCGACATCTCCGAAAGAGATATACTGATTGTACAACAAAAACCCTTTGTTGAATTTCGCCGCAGCTAAACCAAAATACGCCGCTCGAGTTTCGTCGAACGATCGTCGTAATCTTAGGAGCTTTGATCTGTTCCAACTGATGGCTGCAGTTAAAACTTTGACTTTTCGTAGCAAGTTTCCACGCGTCGTATTTACATATTGGCTTTGGCTTGGCGCATCCTTGGCGGAACGACTAGGTTCGTTGGCGTTCACAGCATCGAACGTAAGTGGTAAATCGTCCCAACTGGTTGAAGACACTCTAGTGAATGGCAACATCGTTCTGCAAAGGCACATATCGACACACACGCCGGGGAACATAAATAAACATAGCAAATAAACAGCATACGCCATCACAGTTGCGCGTAAACAACTGAAGTGATCGAATTTCTTGAAATTTGTTATGAGCAGATAGATGCGTGCATAATTACACCGATCCTCCCCCCAGGAAATCGCTCCACGCATCATGTTGAAGGAAATGAAGACATAATCCATTGTCAGTTATTACGCTACTGACATATTTCTGCTACACTTCGACATGCCGTCACATGGCTGGGCAGCGAAAGAGCGGAAGGCGCCACATCAGCGGGGAACGCTTTGGCTTATCTCACCAAATACGCCCCTGCTTCCATGGCATGAGGCGTCCACCGACATCTAAATGCCGGACATATAACCCTGATAATACGTGTTATCTACCAGCTTCCTCATTGCCCATGGTCCTTTACTATCAAGAATCGCCTCGCAGTCGACTTACGAAATGAAAGCGGCGTGAGCACCCGTTTTCCGAAGTCATTTCAGAGTAAACGTGCCTTATCCATGTTACGTTGTCAGGATTGAATGCGATACTTGGATTTCGCAAAACGGCACAAAATAAAAAAAATGCAGATTGATCGAGCCGAAATCTAGACCTCCTTCTGGCTTTAAGCTTATCAGACTGATCCCATGCAGCATCCCATCCCATCCCATGACCAACGACAGCATCAGCAAAACCATTGATGGAAGTGGCGTCCGAAATGTGCTTTGATTCCCATGGGAACTGCCTTGCAAAATACCGCACATTGAGTTGAAATGGAAAGCGACCATGTCAAGCAATAATGCTGGCATTAGCAGCATCGCACCATGTTATAGGTGAGCGTACGCGAAAAAACGC